TACCATTTTGATGGTTGTACTAACCATGAACATATTGGGGGTTTCCATAGTCATGGGGGATACCCCAATAGCTGGATGGTTTTATTTCATGGAAAATCCGACAATAAAATAGATGATTTGGAGGTACCCCCATTTCAGGAAACCGCCATATTGGTGGTTCATTGCTTTACGAACAGCAAAACGGACACTCTTAGCTAGACATATTGGTAAATAGCTAAACCATATTCTATCTTCACATAAATTATCATATTCTAAGTGGTGGTCCGGTATAGTAACAGTACCAATTCTCTATGGCATCAATCCAAAATGCTTGCCCGAGATTTTCCATGCCTGGCTTCCCTTCGTTCCCAGAATGGTTTTGGTTGAAGGGGAAGACCGTCGTTCCCAGAAACTCTCCAAAATTCTCCCCTAAACTAATCCAGTAATGCAATAAATCAATAAATATAATACATACAAATCAATATTTTTATCACAATAAATCAATACATTTATCAATATTTTTATCAATATTTCTATCAATTTATACATCAAGTATATTCATATATTCATTGGTGTTTCACCCCACATTTTTTTTTACATTTTGACTCCCATCACTGGTGATGTCCCCAGCATCGATGTCTGGGTCCGGCCTCCGTTTTGTCGTTGCAGCAAGGCGTGGTGAAACCGCACAACTTCTTCCAGAAACCGAATCTGTTGGTGGGATCCGCTCAGGGACCAGGATGGACCAGGGATCACGGTCCGAAAAAATCCATGGTGAATCGGATGGCGGAATTTATCATACCTGGAGCAACATTGCAGGTGGGTGAAATAGATGTGAAATATATGAGAAAATATAAAAGATGGTGTTTTTAGGGGTTTTGGTGTTTAACCAAGAGATTTTTTTTCAGATGGGGAGTCAATCGGGAGTTTCCAATCATTGTATTTGGGGTTTAAACAATTATATACAATGTTCGACATGTAGGGAGTTTACCATCAAAAGTTAGGGTAAAACACCTAGTGAAGGGTAGTTCAGTAATCTTATGCAAAATATCTTTGATTTTTGATGGGGATACATTAATTTGACGAGCTTTGACAGAATGCCGGATGCCTTTTTGTAGTGCGGTTGTTGAAGGGAAGTTTGGACGTGCGTCCCAGTCGAGATGTGGTGAATTTACCAAATTTTATAAACTTCCCATTGATACATGGACATTGATCATTTTCCTAGAACATATACTGGTTGGTGGTTTGAAACATGTTTAATGAATTTCCATATATTGGGAACAATAATCCCATTTGACTTTCACGTTTTTCAGAGGGGTAGGTCAACCACCAACCAGTATATATGATATCCATTTATATCCACTTTTTTAGTCATTTATTCATGGGTGAACTTGGGAGACTGATCCAGATGCACGTCGACGGGAGAAACCATGGAGGTGCCCTCAGAAAGAGAGGAATGATGTTTGTAGAAATGACTCTGGGGTATACATGAGGGGTACCCTCTGGTAATGACTGACAGTTTGCTATTGAAAATGGCCATTTCTAGTTGATTTACCCATTCAAAATGGTTATTTTCCATAGTTATGTTAGTTTACCAGAGGGTAATCCTCTGTCAGAAGCGTGATCTATTTTCTTAAGAAAGTGCTGAAGGTTCGTTTTTGTTGCCATGTCTCTTGAGATATGACGACATGTTTGAACATGTTGCCGGCTGCGGCATGTGCAAAATTGAGGCCAGTTGCAGTGGCCACTGTCAACCAAGAATTGAGCAATAGTATCGATGTTGGCCACAGGTGCCTTTACATGCAGAAGCATTTGCACACATAAGCTTTCACACGCAGCTGGTTTTTTCACAGAGGTACTTTTACGCAGAGGCGCTTTTACACGCATGCGTTTTTACACAGAACGTTTTTACACTGTCAGGGATCTTTTTCACACACACAGAATCTCTAGGACAGGTGCTTTTGCCGACAAAAAAATTGACACACAGAGAAGCAATTACACACAGGGGCCTTTACACGCAGAAGCTTTTACACAGAGATTCTTGCAATGAACTGCTAGTAGCAACCAACAAGCATAACTTACAACTGCAGAGCCCCTTCCGTTGGCAGCCCATTTTTCAGGTGACGAGCCGTGGATACAGCGTGTCGGAGAACAGCTCCTACCTGGATACGTCGGAAGCTTGGGTTCAGGGCACTCTTTCCAAACATCCAATGGATTATGACATTGAGGTTTCCTGAAATGGGGGTACCCCAATAGCTGGATGGTTTATTTCATGGAAAATCCTATTTGAATATATTTGAATAGATTACCTTCTGGTAATTTAGCAGTTTGCGATTTTGTTTTCGCATTTAGTTCGATGATTTACCTACTAAAATGGTGATTTTCCATAGCCATGTCAGTTTACCAATGGATTATGACATGTGTAATCCCATCCCCCAACGTGGAAGTGCAGTTCCTGTTATAAGATGTACAACCATCGTTATAGGCCTTATATCCCAACAAAAAAACATGTTTGTTGGTGCAAGGGTGTGCCCCCTAGTTATAAGTTTAGAATCCCCATTAATCAACCCGATATATCTAGATATTGAACTTACGTATATGCACCAACTTAGCTTTCACGAACTGGGGCACCATCTTGTGTAAAAACATCAATTATACAACTATATGATAGTTATCAAAGTTCTATAGCTCTATCCCCCAGGGTTATATCACGCTATAGAACTATAACTATGAACTTTAGTTGAAAGAACTTATACCATGGTTATATCATGTCCGGTTGGTGGTTTGGAACCATGGAATTTTATGACTTTCCATTCAGTTGGGAATTTAACACATTATCCCAACTGACGAACTCACTCCATCATTTTTCAGAGGGGTATGTATACAACTATACAACCACCAACCAGATATAATCACCATATTTTATCACCATGTAGTGTTAAAACCTACCATTTTGGTGGCTTCACTGGCTTCATTTTTCTTGATGAACTCACCAGTGGTTCTCCATATCTGCTTGGTGGTTTGGAACGTGAATTTTATTTTCCATTTCATATATGGGATGATCCCAACCCCATTGACGAAGTCCATCATTTTTCAGAGGGGTAGGGCTCAACCACCAACCAGATGTTATAGTTCCACGAGGGGATGACCCACGAGTGGGACTTACTAAGCAGGGCTATATATATTCCAATATATGAATATCTCAGTAAATCAACTATAAAATCTATGACCTCATTTTTCTGGGTTCAATCACCATGTTCATCCATTTTCCCGATATTTTCCTATGGGTTTTCCAGGATTTTTACATGATTTGCCCATGGCTTTCCTCGTCGTTTGTCCCCCTGAGGCGCTTCGAGATCCACAGCGTGGAGCCTCCCGTGGGCTCCGAGGAGGGCGGCGCGCGGGTCACGGTGCGAGGCGTGGGCTTCGGCAATAAGCAGCTCACCCCGCAGGTGGGGTTGGGGGTTCGGAGGTGCCCAGGGGTACCCCAAGAGCTGGATGGTTTACCCTCTGGTTATGTCAAAATAGCTATTGAAAATGGCCATTTATAGTGGATTTTCCCATTGAAAATGGTGATTTTCCATAGTTATGTTAGTTTACCAGAGGGTATATGATAGTATATATATATCCCATCAATATCCCCATGATATTCTATTTTATTAACATCCCTAATTATATTCTATATTCCATCGAATGATCCATCTAAGGTTATTATATAGGTAACCTCCGGTAAACGGGCTAACATTTCGAACTGGAAAGATCCACCATCTTTAAGTTCGGTAAATCAACTATTTCTATGGGCCATTTTCAATAGCTACGTAACAAATTTCCAGAGGGTAGTCTATATATAAATTATAGCTTAATACTCATACATTATTATCTAATAGATCATAATGGAAAGTGTTTTTTTCCTCCATTCTCCCGATAGAGACACCACTTAGAAACCATGGTTTAGGAGATTTACACTGATTTGGGACCATTTGGGAAGTGTTTAATATTCGGGGAATGGGATTACTGTAATTGAAAATCCGAACATCCTATTGAAAATGGATGATTTCTTGGGTAGCCGAACAAAAAATCTGAAACTTCCAGATGTGGTGAAACTGAACATTATGGGACACAAAAATGGAGTTTCATTCAGGGAACATCATGAACATCAACGTGATATTTCCGGGAGATTCTGGGAAGATGGCTGGAAGCTGGGAAGATGGGGTGAGAATTTCACCAATGGGAAAGTCCATGGGAAAATCATGGGTGCCTCAGGAGAGATGGTGCCATGAAAAAAAAACTTCAGGAAGCTGGTATTTTTTTACTGGGGACAAATATGGAGTATAACTCATGGATGATTTCTGGGGATATGTGGAGAATGTGGTAAGCCCATGTAAGCCCAAGAATATTTGATAGGATTGCCCTGAAGATGGCAAACTGGGGCTATTTTACTGGGGGTTGGGACCAATTTCTCGGAACAACCCCAAAGTTTAAGGGGAAAATCATAATTTTCCCTCTTCAAATAGCCATCTTGGGAGCTATACATATACCACCACATTTTCAGACCATAGAATTATATAGACTATATAGATTTATTGTTGGGGTTAACATTAGGGATGTTCCATTCTTGACTTTGAAATGGCTTTGGACATGTGGTAAACCCAGGAATCAAACATCCCTCGTGACTTTTCAGAAATGGGTGGCACAAAGCATCAAACACTTCAAAATTGATCAACATGGGCCATTTGACCCAGGAAAGACCCTTAAAACATGAAGCGCGCATCTGCCAGCAAGTCATACTTGAAGGTGTAGTTGAGGTTACTTTTATGGATGTTACCATGGTTATACACCCCCATGTTTGTTGGGATATAAGTATAAACCCTACAACTATGGTTATGCATCCACTTCTAACTGGAACTGCACTTCCAAGTAGCAAGTCATTGGTCAAAACAGCGAAAGTGATCACTGTTTCTATTGGATCATGCGGAGGATGTTCAGAAGAGACAGTGGCAGCAGAAGTGCCAGAGGAAGCAATGGTGCCAGTGGAAAAGGACGTGCCCGAGGAAAAAACTTTACCAAAGAAGAACACAAACTTGAACAAGTTCCAGCACGACCTCCTGGTGCGAGATGATGATGAGCACCCATTTGATCACGACTTGAGTGTGTCTGAAAATGTGGTATACCCCCAATATATTGGCATTTTGAACAGGGTACACTTAAGGTTTTAACCAACGGAGTGATTCTTCTTTCCCCCTAAAAAATCAGGCACCGATGCCATTTCAGACGGTTCTCTGTGGGTTACTTGGGTGTGCATCTGAGGGATCTGATGTATGGTTCAATTTCGATGAAGATGCCAAGGGCGAACTGAAGCCACGACTTCGCGCAGATGATCAGAGACTGTTGAGGCTAATCCCCACATTATCGACTGGTAGGATCCTTCCATGATGACGTGGGTCAGCAGTTGCGCCTGACGTCGACTTCGCTGGCGACACCAGCGGTAAATCCGCATCCTGAGCTGAGCTCACACCAGAACTGCTATAAAACTCTGTAAAATTGATCCCAGATTGATAAATTTTCAGGTACCGAACCCGTCATGTGGCCATCAATTTCTCGCTTTTATAGGCCGTTAATAACCTCCATTCGTGTTTGGGGGTACTCCAACTCCCATTGTTGCTGATTGGTTTCATCCAATCCCCATTGTGGATGCTGAACATCAACAATTCTGGATCTTCAGGTACCAAACCCATTGGAGCCATGAAACATACTCCCATCATCTCCCATCCCATTCAATGAAAAACTGGTAAATAGGGATCCTGTGTTGCAAAACGTCGCCAGAAGAAATAGGGATAAAGGTGAAAAAACGTCGTTAAGAAGAACTGTTTTCCTTCCAATTTTCACATCAATGAACCAAGTATATAATTTTCTTTCATTAACTGCTTGGTTGGTTCACGTTTGCCAGTTACAAGGGGTGGCTGAAGGGTTCAGCCCCTGTGGATTCCATCATTCCATCAGATGGTGGATTTTTCATAGGCTACAATGTGAGGCCCCCCAGTGATGTTTGTTGGTTTAGATTCGCCCCAGGAACTATAGTTACAAGTAACATAGACCCGGGCAAGCCGGCGGCGGAAGTTTCCCAAACATAAATGACCTATAGTTCAAAGACACCCTGTCCCGACCGTGTCCTTCCCTCGACACTCCACACCTCACACTGCACACTGCACTCTTCGCACTCCAAACTTCAAACTTCACACTCCACACTTCTCACTGCTTCTTCACACTCCAAACCTCACACTTCACACTTCACACTGCACACTTCACACTTCACAGTCCACACTTCACACTTCACACTTCACAGTCCACACTTCACACTTCACAGTCCACACTTAACACTTCTCACTTCACAGTCCACACTTCTCACTTCGCATTTCACACTTCACACTCCACATTTCACACTTCTCACTTCTCACTGCTTCCTTCACACTCCAAACTTCACACTTCACACTTCACACTTCTCACTTCGCACTTCGCACTCCACACTTCACAGTCCACACTTCACACTTCTCACTTCACACTTCTCACTTCTCACTGCTTCCTTCACACTCCAAACTTCACACTTCTCACTTCGCACTTCACACTCCACACTTCACAATCCACACTTCACACTTCTCACTTCTCATTGCTTCCTTCCCACTCCAAACTTCACACTCCAAATTTCACACTTCACACTTCTCACTTCGCACTTCACATTTCACACTTCACTCACACTTCACACTTCACAATCCACACTTTACACTTCTCACTGCTTCCTTCACACTCCAAACCTCACACTTCACACTTCACACTTCACGCTGCGCTCTTCGCACTCCACACTTCACAATCCACACTTCACACTTCTCACTTCACACTTCTCACTTCTCACTGCTTCCTTCACACTCCAAACTTCTCATTTCTCACTTCGCACTTCACACTCCACACTTCACAATCCATACTTCACACTTCTCACTTCTCACTGCTTCCTTCCCACTCCAAACTTCACACTCCAAACTTCACACTTCATACTTCTCACTTCGCACTTCACGCTCCACACTTCACTCACACTTCACACTTCACAGTCCACACTTCACACTTCTCACTGCTTCCTTCACACTCCAAACCTCACACTTCACACTTCACACTTCACACTGCGCTCTTCGCACTCCACACTTCACAGTCCACACTTCACACTTCTCACTTCACACTTCTCACTGCTTCCTTCACACTCCAAACTTCACACTTCTCACTTCGCACTTCACACTCCACACTCCACAGTCCACACTTCACACTTCTCACTTCTCACTGCTTCCTTCCCACTCCAAACTTCACACTCCAAACTTCACACTTCACACTTCTCACTTCGCACTTCACACTCCACACTTCACTCACACTTCACACTCCACACTTCACACTTCTCACTTCTCACTGCTTGCTTCACACTCCAAACCTCACACTTCACACTTCACTCTTCACACTGCGCTCTTCGCACTCCACACTTAAACTTCACACTCCACACTTCACACTTCTCACTTCCCACTGCTTCCTTCACACTGCACACTTCACACTGCACTCTTCACGCCCCACACTTCACACTGCTCTAAACCTACGTGCAACAAAAAAAACACTAGCGCCAAAATGGAGAAAATCTGCTAACAAATCCATGTCGCAGCCTTCATGCAGCCACTCCAATACGATTTACGAGATCGAGCTGCAAAAGACAATAGTATGACAAATGCAGCCACAGCACGAAGCAACCTTGACGCAGCCATTACAATGCGATCTGCAGAGACTGAGTTGCAAAACACAATGGAACTACGCGCAACGGCGTCAGAAATTGTAGCTCCAAAACCGGATCTCGACGCCAGAGCGAAAAAAAGACGATTTTGAAGCACTTTTTAAAAGGATTTTTAGAAGGAAAATCACTAGCGCCAAAATGGAGAAAATCTGCTGACAAATCACTCTGGCAGCCTTCATGCAGCCACTCCAATACGATTTACGAAGTCGAGCTGCAAAAGACAATAGTATGACAAATGCAGCCACAGCACGAAGCAACCTTGACGCAGCCATTACAATGCGATCTGCAGAGACTGAGTTGCAAAACACAATAGAACTACGCGCAACGGCGTCGGAAATTGTAGCTCCAAAACCGGATGATCTCGACGCCAGAGCAAAAAAAAGACGATTTTGAAGCACTTTTTAAAAGGATTTTTAGAAGGAAAATCACTAGTGCCAAAATGGAGAAAATCTGCTGACAAATCACTGTCGCAGCCTTCATGCAGCCACTCCAATACGATTTACGAAGTCCAGTTGCAAAAGACAATAGTATTGCGCATGCAGCCGCGGCACCAAGCAACCTTGACGCAGCCATTACAATGCGATCTGCAGAGACTGAGTTGCAAAACACAATAGAACTACGCGCAACGGCGTCGGAAATTGTAGCTCCAAAACCGGATCTCGACGCCAGAGCGAAAAAAAAACGATTTTGAAGCACTTTTTAAAAGGATTTTTAGAAGGAAAATCACTAGCGCCAAAATGGAGAAAATCTACTGACAAATCAGTGTCGCAGCCTTCATGCAGCCACTCCAATACGATTTACGAAGTCTAGCTGCAAAAGACAATAGTATTACGAACGCAGCCACAGCACGAAGCAACCTTGACGCAGCCACTACAATGCGATCTGCAGAGACTGAGTTGCAAAACACAATAGAACTACGCACAACGGCGTCGGAAATTGTAGCTCCAAAACCGGATCTCGACGCCAGAGCGAAAAAAAGACGATTTTGAAACACTTTTTAAAAGGATTTTTAGAAGGAAAATCACTAGCGCCAAGATGGAGAAAATCTACTGACAAATCAGTGTCGCAGCCTTCATGCAGCCACTCCAATACGATTTAAAAAGTCCAGCTGCAAAAGACAATAGTATTACCAATGCAGCCACAGCACGAAGCAACCTTGACACAGCCATTTACATTGCGGGAACGATCCTACAGTTGCAAAGCACAATGGAATTCCATTGGCAACTCATCCGCGAGCAACACGTGCAATCCCATTTACATTGAGGGAACGATCCTAGAGTTGCAAATCACAATGCAATTCCATCAGCAACTCGTCCACCAGCAACACTTGCAACCCCATTTACAATGCGGAACCGATCCGAGAATGATCCGAGGATGATCCGAACATATCCGAGAATGATCCGACCACACACGAGACCGTCTCGCACCCGTCGCACCGCAGAGGTAGATCATCGAGGTTCGGGGACGCACTTTGTATGGAAAACATAGGGTTTCGTGCATCTGCTATCTCTCAAAAACGCATTTCGTGCGAGACTTCCTCCAAAACTCCATCGGCAACTCATCCACCAGCACCACTTGCAATCCCATTTACATTGCGGGAACGATCCTACAGTTGCAAAGCACAATGGAATTCCATCGGCAACTCCTCCACCAGCACCACTTGCAATCCCATTTACAGTGAGGGAACGATCCTAAAGTTGCAAATCACAATGCAATTCCATCGGCAACTCGTCCACCAGCAACACTTGCAACCCCATTTACAATGCGGGAACGATCCTACAGTTGCAAATCACAATGGAATTCTGTCGACCACACATGCACGAAAAACTGTTGAAACCCCATTTACAATGCGGAACCGATCCGACCATGATCCGAGAATATCCGAGAATGATCCGACCACACACGAGACCGTCTCGCACCCGTCGCACCGCAAAGGTAGATCATCGAGGTTCGGGGACGCACTTTGTATGGAAAAACATAGGGTTTCGTGCATCTGCTATCTCTCAAAAACACATTTCGTGCGAGACTTCCTCCAAAACTCCATCGGCAACTCCTCCACCAGCACCACTTGCAATGCCATTTACAGTGAGGGAACGATCCTAAAGTTGCAAATCACAATGCAATTCCATCAGCAACTCGTCCACCAGCAACACTTGCAACCCCATTTACAATGCGGGAACGATCCTACAGTTGCAAATCACAATGGAATTCTGTCGACCACACATGCACGAAAAACAGTTGAAACCCCATTTACAATGCGGAACCGATCCGAGACCGATCCGAGCATGATCCGAGGATGATCCGACCACACACGAGACCGTCTCGCACCCGTCGCACCGCAGAGGTAGATCATCGAGGTTCGGGGACAGACTTTGTATGGAAAAACATAAGGTTTCGTGCATCTGCTATCTCTCAAAAACGCATTTCGTGCGAGACTTCCTTCAAAACTCCATCGGCAACTCATCCGGCAGCACCACTTGCAATCCCATTTGCATTGCGGGAACAATCATTGCCCTAACTAACTCTTGCTTTAACTAACCCTTTCCCTGACGAACCTTCGACGAACTAACTGTTTCTTTGACTAACTGTTTCTTTGACTAACTCTTTCTTTGACTAACTCTTTCTTTGACTAACTCTTTCTTTGACTAACTGTTTCTTTGACTAACTCTTTCTTTGACTAACTCTTTCTTTGACTAACTGTTTCTTTGACTAACTCTTTCTTTGACTAACTCTTTCTTTGACTAACTGTTTCTTCGACTAACTCTTTCTTTGACTAACTGTTTCTTTGACTAACTCTTTCTTTGACTAACTGTTTCTTTGACTAACTCTTTCTTTGACTAACTCTTTCTTTAACTAACTGTTTCTTTGACTAACTGTTGCTTTGACTGACTCTTTCTTTGACTAACTCTTTCTTTGACTAACTCTTTCTTTGACTAACTGTTTCTTTGACTAACTGTTTCTTTGACTAACTCTTTCTTTGACTAACTGTTTCTTTGACTAACTCTTTCTTTGACTAACTGTTTCTTTGACTAACTCTTTCTTTGACTAACTCTTTCTTTGACTAACTCTTTCTTTGACTAACTCTTTCTTTGACTAACTCTTTCTTTGACTCACTCTTTCTTTGACTAACTCTTTCTTTGACTAATTCTTTCTTTGACTAACTCTTTCTTTAACTAACTGTTGCTTTGACTAACTGTTGCTTTGACTGACTCTTTCTTTTACTAACTCTTTCTTTGACTAACTCTTTCTTTGACTAACTGTTTCTTTGACTAACTGTTTCTTTGACTAACTCTTTCTTTGACTAACTGTTTCTTTGACTAACTCTTTCTTTGACTAACTGTTTCTTTGACTAACTGTTTCTTTGACTAACTGTTTCTTTGACTAACTGTTTCTTTGACATTCTAAAAGTCCGTAACACGGAAGTTTCTCCCACTAAACTTCCTTTGACCATAAACCATAGTTATTGGAGTTATAAACCAAGTTAGCTATCTTGGGGGCCTCACATTGTATGTAACAGATATTAGGGTGTTTCCTAAAATCAGGATACACAAAATGGCACAATAGCTGCATGGTTGAGTTCATGGAAAATCCTATGAAGATTGGATGATTTGGAGAGACTGACTCATTTTAGGAAACCATAAAAAATGTGCCATAGGGAATAATATGTTATAGTTATAACCCTAATGATTGTAAGTCCTTGATCTTTTCATAATTTTTCATAGTAAGTCATAGGCTATAGGTGATTCCGGTGATATTTACAAACCGCTTATCGCCCATTGTATTTCCATTTTATCCCGAGTATATTCCCGCTTGTATGCCCTTTACATACCCGTTACATTCCCACTTGTATTCCCGTTGTATCGCAGGTTTTATTCCATTATTAACTAAGTATCCCATTGAATATCCTCATACATCATATTCTTACTCATTTTTTATTGATTAATATTCAATATTCCATTATATCTCCCACATCATACTCCCAGTATATATATGTATATATATATATATATATCCCCAGTTATATTTGATTAATCTTCCACTATATGTCGTTATATATTCATAATATCCAATTGTCCATTATATATAAGAATAGTTTTTATTTTTATTTTTAATACAGTAGTATCTCCAGTTATATTCCATTAATGTTCCATTCATATCCCATTTCACTACAAACAATCCCACCACAGAAATTCATTCACTGTAAGGAATATCATTTCAATCCATTTCATTAATATTCCAATATCCAAGTAAATATATACATTACTTTAATATACATTACTCACCTCCACAGTATACTCCAATAATATATACCCTTTTTAAATATATTTAATGTATATATATATATAATATATATATATACATACAGTATATTCCATTAATATTCCACTCACATTCCATCTAACATTCCATGTAATGTTCACAAATCCCACATCAACACATTGATATTCATAAATATCTCCATGATATTCCATATGTATCGTATATATATATACATTCCATGAATATATATCACATATACATATATATATACATATATCCCACCAATATCCCATGATATTCTATGAACATCATTGAAACCACCAACCAGATAGGTAATTTCTACATTCCATCTAATGTTTCATCTAAGGTTATTATCCATATTATATCCCATTCTATCCCATTCTTTATTCTAATATTCTAATATTCTAATATTCCATCGATATTCTAATATTCATATATTCCATATTGCATGGTACCCTCTGGTAAATAAACATAGACCCTGAAAATCACCAATTTTAATGGAAACTAGTCTTCCAACCCCTATCTGCCAGGGTCTATGTTAATATACCAGAGGGTACATATTCTTTTTGAGGTGCCTTATTTTCAGACAGCCCCATAGGAATGAAAATTCATCATGTTCTGGCTCAACCTATACCCCGCATATATACCAGCACCATGGATCCGTCATGGGATATTCCATCTGTCATATTAACCCCTATTAACTAGTTCGTTATATCTACCATAAAGCCACTGATAAGGCAACTGAACGCTATCTTCGGGGCCCCATCCTGTGTGAATTCACCATTTTTGTTGGTTAAAACATATTCCATCGATATTCTAATATTCTAATATTCTATAATTATATTCCATCCATATTCTATATATTCCATGGTAGTTTCATATAATTTCATATATTCTATATCTGTCATCAAAAATCGCCTCCGCAGTTGACCATCGCCGCGCTGGGCACCCTGGGCGACGTGGAGACCTGGAGTGACACCGAGGCGGCGGTGGTTTTTTTCGGGTTCCGAAGCAACGAGACGCCCACCGGGGGCCGGAAAAAATGGGGGTTTTCACGGTGAAAAATGGCGATTTCATGGGAAAATTGGCATGAAAACTTGAGATTGCACCCTCGAAGAATGGGGATCTTGCTGGGATTTTACGCAATTTAGATTTTAAGTATGTCAAAAAAAAGAAAATGTCGTGATCGAAACTCAAAACCTACGGTCATCAACATAATTTTGAAAGAACTTGGTGAAGTGATCGTTCTGTGTGAAAATTATCGCGACCTTGAAACGACCAAAACCCATAGTCGTGATGGTCTATTGTCCATGTATCCATCCCAAACAATTTATGGGGTTTTAATAGGGTTTTAACGGGGTTACAATCCCACAAATGATGATAACCCTTCATCAATGTCCAGTTTCAGGAATATGTATAATTTGATATGCTGCCCAAATTTACAGTTTCCTACTCCTTAACGATATGGTAGCATGCCGTTCTTAACTGGTATGGCACGAGGTACTTCAAGCCAGTTGCATTTGTTTGGGATAGGAGTTGAGATCTTTTCACATGGGAAATTGGTCTTGGCAAAGTGGTGATCTGGTTTTAGGATGTTTTAGGTATGGGGCAACTAGCCGAAAAATCGCCCAGCTCGGCTCGTACTTGGATGGTGGCACCACTCATCGAAACTTCATAATAAGTATCTGATTGGTGGTTTGGAACATGGTTTTTATTTTTCCATATATTGGGAGTTTCATAATCCCAACTGACTAATATTTTTCAGAGGGGTAGGTATACCACCAACCAGGTATGGTTACATCAGCCACTTCTATCCAGGGTAACCCCAAGCATAAGAAGGAAATCACCACGTATTTCATAGGTAAATCATCAAAGTAAATGGGCCATGGCTTCCATAGAGCTATGTTTTTTCAGAGGGTACTGTACACTCATCAGGACTGTACACCATAATCAAGGCCTACACAAATGGCTATGGATCAATACCTATTAATACCAGTTTTAGGGGGATGAACATCCATTTACCAGCTATTTTGATGTTCACCAGGGGGATAGGGTTTTGACCCATCCCCAAATGATCTTGCACCAAACATCGGGACTGAACAGCTCTGCAAAAGGATAACACCGAAGATGCTGGGGATGCTTTTCACCGAGGGGATTGAAAGACTCGAACAGTACCTGGTGATGCCCCTAATCCTAGCTACTGTAGTTGGTTTAGAACTAGGCAAACTATGGTTGATGCTAGATATATCATTATATATTTATAGTCTATATGGTTCAATGCGATTTATAAACCAACGTTCACAGAACTGGGGAGATCCACCTTGTAGCGAGCAAGATGGGGAGAAGATCTCCAGCTTTTCCCATGGGATTTTGCCGTGAAATATGGGGGTTACACCCCGTACATTTTCCCTGAAACTCACTGACTAAAATGAATGATTTCGGGGTACCCCCATTTCAGCCAGACCTCGTTCCTCTGGACCCTAGACAGGTGGTCTTTATCACCCGAAAGTTGACGCTGAACGTGGCCAAAGTGGTCCGGTGTCTCAGTGCGTCGGACGAGTCGTGGCTGGCTCGGCAGGGAAAACCAAGAATCTATAGCTGGTTGGTGGTTTGGAACATTTTCTATTTTTCCATGACTTTCCATTCAGTTTGGGAATTTCATCATCCCAACTGACTTTCATATTCTTCAGAGGGGTAGGTGGCTCAACCACCAACCAGATAGGGATTTTTTGTTACTCAGGAGACGGTGGAAAAAAGTGGTAAACATAGTGATAAGAATAGTGTTTCGAATAGTGATAAAAATAGTGACTATGTGTATATGGAGATATAGTGACTAATGATATGTGTATATACTATTATAGTGATTATTAGTGACTATGTGACTATTTTATATATATGTTAAAATGGAGATATCCAAGCTGGAAAAGCCAACTTGATATGATATTGGAGTGTGTCTCAACTGGTTAGTATGCCAGAACTTACGGCAATTTTACTATAGTGACAATTATGATCAAACATGGAATTGTTGGGTACCCTACGTTCAGACAAACCCATAGAGATGATTGCTAGGTTGAGAAATCATCTCGATTTTTTGTTTGGGTAACGTTAGAATTTGCAGTTGCCCAGACTCCGCGGGGCCTCAAAGAACAGCAGTGACCGAAAAAGGCGAGAAATCATGGGATTCTGGATCCAAAAAAGTTGATCAATGTGGGATGTAAACAACTCCCATGACGGGGGATGGTAAGTTAGTAGCACTTCTGGTTGGTGGTGACTGGAACATGGCTGGATTATGACTTTTCCATTCAGTTGGGAATGTCGTTTCATCCCAACTGACTTTCAATCCATCATTTTTCAGAGGGGTAGGTATACCACCAACCAGACTTATATATGGTGACTTGGGGATAGTTTTATCGCATGATCAAACCATCCATTGCTTGGTGGCCTTTTTTTGGGGGGGAGCAAGGCATGATGGAAAACGGACGTGTTTCTGATGACCAAGGGCAGAAGTGGATGACGTGATTTTTCTTTCATGGACCCTGTACACCGATGGGAAAACGATGAGAGTCGACAGTTCTGAAGGCATTTTCAACTGTTTGGTGACTTGAAGCCTCATTTTTGCTGGTGAAACATCTAGTGTTTCTCCATCATGTTTGTTCGCGAACTTCCAACTGCTACACTTCTTTGTTGGTGAATTCCCAAATATATAATTCATTTATTCAAATATTCCATATATATATATGCATATATTATATATATATATGCATTAATATTGGTTTGATTATATCATAAGTTATATACATGAATTATATCTCCCATATGCTCCATGTAATCTGTACCAACGGCACCACAGGACTTGATGGTGAATCTCATCAGCGCCAAGCACAAGTGCGGTAGCGGTCCCGACCCACACCCGGCCCGGGGGCTCCGGGGATTTCTTCGGGGATTTCTTCGGGGGCAGATCTTCGGGAATCTGGGTACCCGGCCTGGTCAACGTTTACAAAAAGCTATGGAAAGATCCACCATTTTTAATGGGAAAACTATGGAAAATCACAATTTTTAATGGGAAAACTATGGAAAATCACCATTTTTAATGGGAAAACTATGGAAAATCACCATTTTTAATGGGAAAGCTATGGAAAGATCCACCATGTTTCATGGGAAAACTCACTATTTCGACTGGGCCATTTTCAATAGCTAACTATGTATGTTTACCAGAGGGTATCTATAGAAATCCCTTCCCCGTAATATTAAACACCCACTTTGAAACCATGGTTCAGTAGGGAAGTGCCGCAAAATTGGGACCATAGAAATGGGGTGTTTGATATTAGGATGATGGGATTATACAGACAAGGTGGTGCCCCCCCCAGTTATGTTTGTTGGTTTATAAACAATAGTAACTATAGATATAACCCCTAATCAACCCTAGATATCCCTAGATTAGATATTGGACTTATAAGTTATCTTAGATAACTATGGGGCACCACATTGAGTTGTTTGATTTCTGTGTACACCACTGTTTTATTTGTTGTATTTGTTTGTTCTTTTGGCGGGTAGATATCATTCCAGCGAATTTTTTGGCAGGGGATCAAGGATGGGATATGGTATGGGGAGTCTGTTGTCTTTGTTGGGGGGAAAGGACTTTTGGGATGGGCTGAAAGTCGGATAACTTAGACGCCTAAAAAGTTTGATAATGCACCTCCTGAAAAGGGGATACTCCAAGGTGAAACAATTTGTGGGCACTTTGATGTGCACTTTGGTGTATTTTGGTACCTAACTTGTTTTGACTGTGCCCATGGGATTTATGATTTATGGGAAATCATCGTCTATAGGCTCTGTAGGTACCAAACATCGACAAACATACTTGGGGGTCCCTTCCTGCAGGTGTTGTGATTCTGGTCTTGATTGCTTGAGAGCATTAGTTATACCAAGCATTTGCGGGTCACAAAATGAATCATCCCAGGCATATAAATCATGTAGACCCAACTTCCAAGTGAAAAATGCAACCGAATAAATTGAATCAACAACAGAATTTTCCCTAATATTCTCCAGTCATCCCAGGTAATTCTCCCATCATCCCCGTTGTTTTTAAAACAACGGGGCGCCTTAGCGCCTTGCGCAGGGCACCACCACCACCACGACCATGGGGCAGAACATCACCCTGCTGGTGGCTCCTGTGGTGAAGAAGGTCACCTCTGAGGACCGACCGCATAAAATGTGGAGATTTTTTTTAATGGGAGAGTAGTGGAATATTGATGGGGAATATATACATCGAGTATATATATATATTCAATATATATATATATTCAATATATATATATATATATTCAATATATATATAATATAATATGAGAATATCTTAGCAATAAATATCAATGATGCAATGATATTGGTGGTTTCCTTAGTTGAGGTATAGGAACTGGCCACAAAAACCGGTGGTTTAGCCAAGAAACATGGTGGTTCTGCTGCAGCATCAAAGCTGGGGCCAGTTGTCCCGCCTCATTTGCAACGCCTCGGGGTGTTGGGGTTTGAAGTTGGATAGACCCTGCCATTTTTGGGCTTAAAAAAGATGAGGTTCCACTAAAATGCTCTGTTCAGGTTGTAAGTTGGTGGAGAACAGATGGCTGATATCAATCCAGATCCAAGTCGGATGCACAAAGGCCGGGTCCTGCTTGAAATTCGATGGCTTTCAGGGAAAAAACATGGACACTGCTGAGGGTTTTAGGTCAATGTTCCCTCAAAGCAATCCAAAGACACCCTTGGGTCTGCTAATAAATGAGGTATACCCGCAAATATCCCGCAAATATCCAATATGATTGGTAAAATGTTGATAAATTACATATTTTTCTTGAGGTGCCTTATTTTCAGACAACCCCATAAGAATGAAAATTCATAATGTTCTGGCTCAACCTATCGTTGGCCCGTGCACTTCATAGAAAGACGAACTAAGGGAATACCCGATTCCATTTGGAAATCGTGTGGTGGACCTATACACCGAGCTGACCACTACAGCCAAAGGTTGGACGTCACTTCCCAGCCCGGTCCCACCGGCCATTGAGTCCTTCCAGAAGACTGTGGATGACCATGGTTTGGACCTGGAGTTTGCGGCTTTGGTGAGGTATACCAGTACCTGAGGTTTGGTAAGCATTTGAAAATCCCCAGACACTGGAAAGAATATGTGCCAAAAGAGCCTCCTATGCCAGCTAAGCTGGTAATTCATGCAGTTCCCTCTTCGACATCGAGCAGCTAAGGGACCACAATTGACCACAATTGTATTTTGATATAACATAGTCATGGTATAGATGGCCCATTTATAGATGGTTTACCTATTAATAGCATGGTGATTTTCCATGGCAAACTATTAAATAACTAGAGGGTAAAGTTGGTTTAAACTCATTTGGATACCAAGGACCATAGGAACTAACCTGGAACTCTACGATTTTGCTCGCGAAAATCGCTGGTTTGTTGAGTCAAGATTTCTATGTGTGGTACCATCTGGTTATTTAACATAGCCATGGAAAATCACCATGCTATTAAGAACGGCAAACCATCTATTTCTATGGGCCATCCATACCATGGCAAACTGTTAGTCATAACTAAAGGGTATATCTATTGTAAATATAGCCAGAGGGTATAGATCTCAGTTGATTATAAATATAATATCCGTATAATATCCATATATTATACCATGGCTATGTAACAAATCACCAGAGGCTAACCCCATGTCACCATCGTTCCACCAAGCATTTATAACATATCTTTTCAAATTTGCAATCAGCTTTTCATTTGCCAATCACCATCCAAGAATTTACCCTCTTTTCCAATCATGGCGGCACAAAAACCCACATCTTTTTTCGGATGATTTTCCCAGATCTTTCCAGGAAAACACCTCCATTTTCTTCATTAAATCACCACTAAACCACCACTAAACCACCACTAAACCACCATTAAACCACCATTAGACCACCACTAGGACTGCGAACATCGCGCCTTCCGGGCCTACGTCACGCCCAACGTCACGGCGGTGTCGTCGTTGGTGGGAAACCTGGGAGATGCTCGGTGGAACGATGGTGAAATGGGGCTCAAACGATGGGTTAATGGTGGTTTAATGATGGTTTAATGGTGGTTTAGTGGTGGTTTAGTGATGGGTTAATGGTGGTTTAGTGGTGATTTAATGGTGGTTTAATGGGATTTAATGGGATTTAATGGTGGTCTAATGGTGTAATTGTGGCTCGATGGGGCTTAATTTGGATGGTTTAATGGATTGTTCAATGGTGGTCTAATAGGGCTGAATGGATGGTTTAATGGATTGTTTAATGGTGATTTCATGGTTGGAGGGTAACCTGCGTGGAGGGTTCGGGAATCAGCTGGATTTGGCTGGGGTAGCTTTAAAAAAATTGGGTGTACTAAATTTTCAGGCAAAGATCTGCAAAAAAGATCCAATTCAGACTGGTTGTAAAGATTGCAGACAGCATTCTGTGATGCCAACCCTTAAAAGTGGTATACACCTATATTGTACAGAGTTCCATGATGATGTTTGTAGCTGGTAAACAGTTGTCAGACACAATATGAGGGTTTTCACACTGCAAGACGTGGGTGTTTTGTTTCACAAAACGGTAACATCAACCGGAACTGGAATGATTTCAAGGGTATTTTAATTTTATGTTTTTTTTGATATCATCCTAGGCATCAAGGAATTGGTCATAGGAAGGTGGAAAATTCGGACATTTTTCGCGGGAAGTTTCGCCATGGTTTCTCATACAGTGCATGAAAAATGATGGTATACTGGGACGATATCAGGGACAACAAAAAATGATCATCCATGTCGCTGGCGCCAAGGTTCACCAGTTTCTGAACATTTCACCACTAAAAATGGAACATCCATTAAGAATACCCTCTGGTAAACTAACATAGCAATGGAAAATCACAATTTTTAATGGGAAAACTCACTATAAATGGCCATTTTCAATAGCTATGTTAGTTTACCAGAGGGTAAAAGAAACCACACCAATGACGATGTTCAGACATCGTAATTTCATCGGTCTCTTTTATGGTTTGCAGAGAATTTCACCGACATTTCATCACGGTATTTGCAGAGCGTCTAAGATTGGCAATATGATTCATGATAAATCCCATGAAATCCCATTAAACCGAGCCCCACCAGCATTAAATCCCATTCAACCACCATTTTTTCCATGTGAAGTGACTCCATCGAGATCACTGCTCGAAGCTTCACCTTCACCGAGGATATCATCACCTTCACCGTGAGCATGCCGGCTGGCTACATCGCCAACGTAGGCAAAAATTCCGGGCCCGGGGAGAGGTGGCGAAAAACCCACTGCTGGCAGGTGAAAAAAAAACCAGTTGGAAGTGGATTTAACCCCTTGTCCCACTTACAACCAGGGATATACTTATATGGGTATGGATCAATACCTATTAATACCATTTTTAGGGGGATGAACATCCATTTACCAGCTATTTTGATGTTCACCAGGGGTACAAGGTTTTGACACACTGCCATATATATATAATTAGATGAATTCTATCAAATTATATCCTACTTAAAGTAATATGTAATAAAGTATAATAAAGTATAACATATTATCACCAGGGATATATCGCATTTTCACCAGGGATATATGATGATATCCTACTAAAAAAAGTAAATGGGATGAGCTCAGTTGGTTGAACTCACCCAGTTTCATCGAAGGGCGGTACCTTGGAAATAGTTTTTACAACTAGCATAGCAGAAAGCTAACTTAAGTCCATTGATTTGTGTACAACTGTTGTATACGGATATATATATATATACACTCTAATTGTTGACTTGGCAAAGTAATGGTTCATTTGTTGTGAATTGTGAAGAGATGCCACATATTGCATTTTACAGATGGATGAATGGATGGATGGATAGATACTATGAAACATAATGTGAACCGCTTGGCTGGCATTCAACGTCCTACAGCTACTGCACAAGTTCACTCCAAAGAGCCACAACTTTCAACCCCCAACCCTCAACCCATCCTCTGTTCCCTGCCTTTTTTTTCAGCGATGGAATGCGCCGTTTGAGGCAATGGTTCTGTGTCAGTGCTTCTGGGCACTCATGTGCCGATGCTCAGTCCTGAAGTGGATCTCAGATGGATTGTTTGAAAACCTGGCAACAAGTCTAGTTGGTGATGGTGACTTTCCCATTTCGGGAAATACCCTCTGGTAAACTAACGTAACTATGGAAAATCACCATTTTTAATGGGAAAAATCACTATTTCTATGGCCATTTTCAATAGCTATGTTAGTTTACCAGAGGGTACACCATTTGTGAATTTCCTGAATCCATAAGGGATATGTTTGACCAATATAGGGGGAAGCAAATCTAAGAAAGTACGAACAATTCCCCTAAATCCACCGGTTTCTCATCATCTCTATAAAAACATACCATTTAACGGGGATTCTCGGGGATATACCACACATTTTCAGATCACTCGAATGATTTGTATCAGCTTGGCGTTTTCTGTTTTCTCAAGATTTCTGCTGGCTATCCATCCAATCACGCGATTTGTATCTGTTATCCCATTTGGATGGTCAAATTGTATACCCCCTGGTAAACGTTTACATAACTATGGAAAGATCCACCATTTTCAATGGGAAAATCCACTATTTCTATGGTGATTTTCAATAGCTATGTAACAAATTACAAGAGGGTAGTATTCCCATTCCCCAAAAATATTAAGGACCCTTAGAAACCAAGGAATTTAAGGGAGAATCCCTGACTGCCCAGCCTCTTGGTGAATCTGTTCTAAAACATATCTCAAGCAATCAACACCAGCAGAAGATGGAGGCTTCTTAAGTTATGGGGGATCCCCAAGGTAAAACCATGATGGTTTAAATATGTTTCAATATTTAAGTCATGGTCCTTTATGACTTGGATGATGACTGGGGTAACCCCTGTTTTGTTTGAAACCTCTAGATGAACGTGTGATACTGGTTGGTGGTGACTGGAACATGGCTGGATTATGACTTTCCATATATTGGGAATAATCAGCCGAACTGACGAACTCATATTTTTCAGAGGGTATGTATACCACCAACCAGGATATTTTAGCAGTCAGTTGACGTATACTTACTATACTCCCATGTTGCCCTCACAAAGAACGGTGCTGAGAAGGGACAAATCACCGGCAAGTTATACCCCAGTCGTACTTCCTCGGAAGGTACTTGCATCCATAGTGATATATATATAATATAATTTCATTATTATATATTATATTATATTATCTTATATTATATTATATTATATTATATTATACTATTATCTATATTATTATATATAAATGGGCCATTTTCCATGGCTATGTTAAATAACCAGAGTGTATATATAGAGCACCCCCCAAAAAGATGCCGAAAGGTGATTCGACAGATCTGAGGCGTGCCCCCACAGCGTGGACAGCAAGACGGGAAACACCCTTCAGGCGCCGTCCTGGGCCGTTATGGTTGGTTTTGTTGGGTTCAAAAGCCGATCTATGGATAGATCTACCATAAACCATACCCTCTATAGTAAACGTTTACAGAAAACGAACTGGAAAGATCCACGATGCTATTAATGGGTAAATCAACGATTTCTATGGCATTTTTCAATAGCTATGTTAAATTACCAGAAAATAGCCATAGAAAATGGCCATAGATATACTTGATTTACCTATGAAACATGGTGATTTTCCACAGCTATGTTAGTTTACCAGAGGGTAGTTAATCTAGTGGATATAGATATCTGTAGATAGATCTACCATAAACCATAGTTGCTCATAGTTAATCTAGTGAACAAAACCCTATCTTGGGCCTATGGATTGGGATATGAGATAGACACAATGGAATATTGATGAACCAACAATGGAATATTAATGGGACAATTACAGGAAGGCCTCCTGGAGGTTTGTCGCTTTGTCATGCTTTGTCGCTTTCTAGTCCCAATTAGAATACTAGTGGTATACATTCGTATATTCGTATACATTATGTATAGATATATCATGATATATCTACCATAAACACAAAAGGTAACCATCTCTAGAGGTTTCTAGCCGGTAATACGCATCAATTGTCGTTCCTAGGTTCATCTTGACCTATCCCCTTTCGTCGCTCCTAGGATGATCCTGGGAGATATTGTGCCATCTGATGAAACAAACAACAAACAACGAATCTGAAAATTTCACTTGGTGGTTTACCGTAAAAATCAGTATATAGAAAGGTGTTTTTTTTTACATATTTAAACCTCATAAGATGTTATAAGATAATGATAAGGCAGGGTTCGTCCCGTTATAACTGGGGTGAACTACCCTGCTTTGACTCATCCACAGAAGGGTTCATCAACCCCACCACCGCGCGAATCGCGCAGATCTCTTGTGCGGTGCCGGCATTTGAAGCCTCCACCGTGCCGATTAAGGTGGGTGGGCATCAGAAATCAGGGCACAATTGGGGCCTCTGAAAGCTAGGATACCGGAATTCACCATGTTCAAAAACGGAAAACTCGGAATTGATCGTTCTACAAGGCGTGGAAAATCATCTTCCAAAACTCATTTCGTGGATTGTTTCGGGTTCATGTAGCCGGGTAGCCTCTGGTCATTTGCCTGGTAGATCCCATTTTTGTGGTTGGTGAAAAATTAGATGATTGTAGGGATATCGTGGAGCCGTCCCAGTATACAGCAAAGCCTGATGGTTCACAACCAATCTAGGTACAAGGTGGTGCCCACGTAGTTGCAAGTTATTTTACTATAGCCCTTCTAGCTATAGTATGCTATAGTGTAGTGCCAACTACATGAATAATTACCAGAAACAGTTATATGACCCATGACGGATCCATGGTGCTGCTATATATGGTGTGCCATGGATTCCATCAAAATATACCCCCAACCAATGTTGGCATTAATATACCAGCACCGTTAGGATCCGTCATGGGTTATATACAGTCGGGTCGAGGGGAGACATCCACGGGACATCATTTGTGGTGTCCGCGTTTTTGGCGGCCTAATATATTTGACCACAACGCGAAAAAATGATCCATCCTGACTTATGGGTGTAATAAAAAGATAATATATAATATGGGTGTAATAAATGGACTTATGGGTGTTATACATATACTATCATATACTTATGGGTATAATATGGATACTTATGAATGGGTTTCATGTATTTTTTTAATGTACATATAAATATACATCGGCAATAGTTTGCAATCCATGCGATAGTTAAAGTCCCTATCATTGCGCACAGACCCTTTTCCTGCCCGGAGTGCAACATTCAGGATGCCCTGTTGTCGAACATGATAAGAGAGACTGCAGAAAATACTGTGAAGAAACACAGTGGTTTCTGGTTTAGGATGAGTTTTCAGGATTAGGGTTTTAGGTTTTAGGGTTTCGGTTTTTGGGATTTAGTGTTTCAGGGTTGAAGGGGCCTTAGAATTTACGGTTTAGGGTTCGTCGGCTGGGAAATACCAAAACAATGGCTCCGCGCAGGTATTTGAGCATGTCGAAGTATAATGTTTGAACAGCGTTCTAATCTTCCGGGCAAACCATACTTGTAGCTGGTTGGTGGTTTAGAACATGTTTTATTTTTCCATATATTGGGAATAAGAATCCCAACTGACTCATATTTTTCAGAGGGGTAGGTATACCACCAACCAGGTAAGGTCTTGCTGTATTATTACATATTATCATAACTGCCCTCCGGTAACCCTACGTGGCAATGGCAAATCCTCATCAATGTTTTTTTTTGGGACATTCATTCATTTCAATACGGGATTTTCCCTCCACGTTTGAGAACGGCAGAAGGCAACAATCCCATTGAACTAGTGGTTGACAGTGATGAGTGATTCATACAGTGCAGTAGTGGTTCATAGCGCGTTGATGGAGGTTGACAATGGTGAAAAAAATGGCTCGGAAATGGTGAACATTATATTAGCTCGAATATATCTAATATTGTATATGCCCCATAGTTACAAATCAAAGCCCTATTCTAGGTGCCAATCTTAGATACCCTCCCAAACAAAAATCTTGGCAGGTGAACGTAGATAATCCCATTGATAGCAAAAGACAAAAGAATTACTGTATATAGTTTCTACCCATCTAAGATTATCCCATTAACATCCATTAACATCCATTAACATCCATTAACATCCATTAACATCCATTAACATCCCATTAACATCCCATTATCCCAATAATAGTCCATATATATATATATATATGTATAGATATAGATAGAGATTTCCAATTGACCACTGTATTTGCGTCTTCTCCAGCGTTTTTTTTTTTAAATTCTCCGTTCGTAGGTGCGAATCCTTCCATTGGGCTACGCACGCATGGGAGAGGGTCTGGAGAAGTTTACGTCCGGGGGCCTTTTTTTTGGGGAAGTGGTTTAGAGCCATCGGTTGAGAAGCAACTACTTGGGCATCTGGGAAATATCAAGCAGTTTTTTTGGGTATCCTTGGTTTATATCACGATTATCATATATGATTATATGATTGTGAGTAACCATGGACAAAAGTTGGGATTAGCACCTAGTGGTTTGGGGATGGGTATTGTAGCCATGTGGGTAGTTTGAGAAACCCAAATGGCACTAATTTGAACCATGAAGTCTGGTTCATGTGTTGGTTTTACCACACATCCGCCTACCATAAACAGGTAGGAAACAAATCTCACACTTATATCTTATGGATTCTTATGTTTTCACGCGGTCAGTGACCAGTTTCATGGCATTTTGGACCCAGGTCCGATCCGCGTCTTGATTGGTTTCATGTTTCATCACATGGACTGAGGCAGGAAAACACTACCTTCCATCAATGGTTTAAGAGAAAATCTACAGGAAAACATGGTTTTCCCATGAAACATGATGGAATGTGTGGGTTTCTTGTAAACATTTCCAGCCAATGCACTGCCTGACTTGAATCTCCACTGGATCAAAATCCATCGGTACCCATGGCATCTGCGTGTATGAGCCTCAAGACGTAGCAATTCAACCATAGATGTGCATCAAAATTGACTTGGATGGCATGTTTATCTTTGACAATGGACACCTCATCACAGATCAAACTAGGTCCACAAGGTGGTGCCCCAGTGAGCTGTTCACGCTAAGTTGCTTCATAAATCCAATAACTCACGTCATGATTTTTGTTGGTGATATATCGAACTAGTTTTCATGGGGCTTACAAACCAACTAATAACTCCAATTTCACTATGGTTTATGGTGTATATATATATACCTACCTACTATGGTTTTTGTTGGTTGTCAATGGGCTTATAACTGGGGGGGCAACCACCTTGCAGGATTTCCAATACCCGAAGCTCAATGCCCAGTAGGGCGTCCATTCCCAGCAAATCAGCACGATCCAAGAAGTACTTCGACTGGACTTCCCCCAAAAACTTGTTAGATACCCGCTGGTAATTTAACATAGCTATTGAAAATGGCCATTTATAGTTGATTTTCCCATTAAAAATGGTGATTTCCAATAGCTATGTTAGTTTACCAGAGGGTAGTAAGCTTCAACAAGATAGAAAAGTCATAATAATCACTATTTCAGCAGGATTTTACATTTCGATCTTTTTGAGGGTCACCATAGTCTTCCGTGTTCGGCAGCATGACAGCCGGCAATGCCGAAGCGCTGTTGTCGTCGCCCGGAACGGATGATGTTAAAGCGGTGCCACGGAACTTGTGGACGCTGGCGCTGTATCTCACCATCATGGCCTTAGGCGATGGGTGGGATATTTTGGTTCACCAACTTGGTTCGGGATATTTTGCTGGGAATATCTTTTGTCCAACTTGATATGATAGGAATGGGATGGAATGGGTAGAGATTGGCTATGGAATACTATGGATTGGTGGGTTTTACATGAATTCATCGTGCACGTTTTATAGAAAGAACATGGCATGCCCTGCCAATGGGATGGTGATCCAGACGATCAGCTTCTATAGGTTAGAATTAAAACCCCAAAAGACACAGATTTTGGTCCTTGTTTAGTATTTAATACCAAAGGTTAGTAATTAATACCATAGGTAAATTATAACCCTAGAATATTAGATCAGCTTCTATAGGTTAGTAATTATTCAGTATTAACCATCTACACTCTGGTTATTTAACATAGCCATGGAAGCCATGGCCCATAGAAACAGATGATTTTCCCAGCTAGAAGCCTCCATGTATTTTCTGGATTTTCCAGTTCGCTATGTTAATTTAACAGTTTGCTATTGAAAATGACCGTAGAAATAGTGGATTTTCCTATGAAAAATGGTGGATCTTTCCCATCAGTTTTTTGTTAACGTTTACCGGAGGGTAATTTTTGGGTACCCAATCTTGACCCATACCCAGATGTTTCCAGCCTAAATGGATGGGAAATCTGAAAAAAAGGTGGATTGAAGTTGTCACCAGTTTTTGTTTGAGAAAAACATGGCCGGGGCCTGGGGCTTAAATCCAACAGTTCCGGGCAAACCCATATCATACTGTGGCCCTCAAGCCATGAATATGCCATCACATCCCCACAAAATGGTGGGGTCACACAATGTTTGAGTCTAAAGATCATTTTCTTGCGAATTCCCCCAATTTTTGCTCACACCACACCCAACTCCCAACTCGTTCGCCCCACGTGGCAGCAGGCATTTGCTATGCCATGCTGGGTCCCACACTTCTAGGCACAGGGATCAAGGGCTGGTTCATTGAATTCATTGATGGTGATTTAAAGATGGTAAAATATTGGATTTCACCATTAAACATGTGGAAAATTGAGATTCAAGTATATACAGAGTATGAACTACTGTATCAGAAATCGTTTTTTTTCAGGAAGAACACTGGGAATTTCATCAACAAACATGTGAGCAGTATACATGATGTAATCGGCTAAGTTGCAAACTGAAATAGTGATTTCAGCATGAAACATGAGTTTGAAGCAACAAGAAAGTGATATTCACCAACAAAGATGGTTTCAAACTATAGAAATGATTCTGAAACATGGTGTAACATGATATGATACACTAATCTTCGTTGATGACGTACTAATCCAATGAATCCAATTTGATCAATATGCATAAAAAAGTGCGAATCAAGCAACTAGGAATATTTGGGGATCCCAATTCCTGAATCACTAGTGGTTTCAGCTGTCTCCAACACGTGAACGTTTCTCTTGTGGAATCGCCATGAAAAAACCACGACAAAACAGGAATTTCACGCGTCAAGTTTCAAGTTTCGTCAGCTCAGTTAAACTAATTAAACTATTTTTGATTGTTAAAATTGTTGGTTTTCATCATTTTTGCTACTCAAGTCATCCCTGCATTTTTCCGAGCCTCGCAGTGATCCTGGGCGCGAAAAATCCTCCAGCCGGAGAAGTTGCTGAAGAAGGAATTGCAGATTGCATTGCAGTGATCCAGCTGAACATTCTGTGGATGGTTGCGACATCCAATAAACCACCAATTTTGGATGGTTATATAAACCCCTATAAACAATGGGATGTTTACCATCTATCATCATCTATCATCTATCCTTTACAGGGAGTTTTACTATCATCATCTAGTATCAACTGGTGATTCGGATTTCGCAACCATCGTAGCTGAAGAACTGCTCCGTGTGTCAAGCTGGATCGCCTGGACTGCGCAAGCAGCTGGAACTGTTCCACCGCGAAGCGTTCTCTGGGATAAAGGCGCTGTGCCTTCACATTTGCCCTGGCAGCATTGCTAGCATGAGATGCTTTCTGTTGCGCTGACAGCTGACAAACCTGGAGGGACAGCTGCGGTGTTTTAGTGATCCCCACTATCTTGGTCTAGACGTACAGGATGGGGCCCCCAGTCGATAGCGTTCAGTTGCCTTGTAAGTGGCAGAATGTTGCCTTGCAAGTGGCTGAATTCTATGGTTTATGGATGTTTATGGTAGATGTAACGAACTAGTTAATTCGGATTTTAATGGTTTATAAACCAACAAACATCACTGGGGGGCCCCATCCTGTAGGTATAGAACATCTTTTTTTACCAAGCAAATCGTCGTCCAGGATGAACATTTTTACCCCTGGGTCTTACACACTTTTGTATCCATACTCTCGTGCTACTTTATCGCTTTTGGCATTCCTCCCCCACTGCAATTATTCATCCAGGATATCTTTACTTGTGATTGACAGCACTCAACATTGACTCAGATCCAAGGTAAAAATACCCCTATCCCATCTCATTATACTAGTTGGTTGATAGGTTTCCCTACTATGGGCTATCATAATCCCCAGTAAACCAGGTAGTATAAATCCCCTATAGCAATCAATTCACCAGGGTATTCTTAATGGCTCAAATGCAATTTGACAGACTCAAATCCATGAGCTTCAGTCAATTGTCTGACTCCATCCATCAATTAGCCTCTGGTTATTTGTTACAGTTCGCCATGGTTTTTCGATGGCCCTAATCGCATAGAAATAGATGGTTTACCGTTCTTACTAGCATGGTGGATCTTTCCATGGCAAACTGTGAATGTCATACCCTCTGGTAATTTGTTACATAGCTAACTGGAAAATCACCATTTTTCATGGGAAAATCCATTATAAATGACCATTTTCAATAGCTATTTTGACATAACCAGAGGGTAAATCTCAGTTCTGTTCTTTGGTCCATCCACATATCTTTGGCACTGGTTCAGTGCCAATTGTTGCGGCTTCAATCACTAATTGTGTGGCACTTTAATCCATCTCTTTGCATCCTTTTCTTGGTTGCACCACCCTTTTTGTTGCTGAACTCCCCATTTTCTTGTTCAAATCAGATTTTTCTGATATAGGGTTGATCTATACGTGTGTATATATAATTATTATATATAAAATAACAATAATAATAATTTCATAATAATGATAATTATATATATAATATTATATAATTAAATATAATAAGTATATACATATATATATATACACATATAATTATATTATACTATATTATATTATATTATATTATATTTTATTACATTACATTATATTATATTTTATTTTATTTTATTACATTATATTATATTACATTATATTATTTTGTATTACATTATATTACATTATATTAAATTACATTATATTAAATTATATTATATTATATTATATTACATTATATTATATTATATTTTATTATATTATATTATATTACATTATATTATATTATATTACATTATATTATATTACATTTTATATTATATTATATTATATTACATTATATTATATTATATTACATTATATTATATTATATTACATTATATTATATTATATTACATTATATTATATTATATCATATTATATTACATTATATTATATTATATTATATTACATTATATTATATTATATTGGATTATATTATATTATATTATATTATATTGCATTATATTATATTATATTACATTATATTATATTACATTATATTATATTATATTACATTATATTACATTATATTACATTATATTATATTATATTACATTATATTATATTATATTACATTACATTATATTATATTATATGTATATTATCTACATATGTGAGTCCCAAATGTCTCCAGATATTGTGACCTAAATCCTTTGTTTTGTCAGTGAAATCACTGCTATTGTCGGTTAAATTGCCACATTGGATCCACTAGATGGAGGCCCATGACATCATGAAATCCCAAGTTTTTAGGCTAAAGAGCCACATCTTTCTGGGTAAATTTGATCACGACCTCACTGTTCTCCCTCACTGGAAATCATGGTTAGTAAGGGGAATCATCCCCAAATGGCCGCAAGATTCAGATTAGTGAATTATTATCATTTGCCCACATCTTTTAGCATATTTTTGACGAATCTTTTCTGTTTCAAAAAAGTCAAAAAGTCCTTTTTCTTTCATGGTCAACTGCAAAAAATCTGGTGAAATCACAATTTTCACTTTTTTTTTTGGATCATTTAGTTGAAATTCCACATGTTTAAGATTAAATTCCAATTTTACCCTCTGGTAATGACTAACGTAGCTATGGAAAATCACAATTTTTAATGGGAAAATCCACTATAAATGGCCATGTTCAATAGCTATTTTGACATAACCAGAGGGTATCCAATTTTTCATCCCCCCAAAAACTCGACTCGAACTGCTCGAACTGCTCTGCGGCCAGATCTCACGGAGCGTTTGCAGTGCTCCGCAACCATGGCCTCGTTGCTCTTCTCGGCACGTGCAGGCGGCTTTTTCGGGTTTAGATATACTCCTTGTGTCTCCTTGTAGAGTGGGGCCAGTGGGGCTTGTTGATGGCTATAACTATCTATAACTTATGGTTTATAAATACCTTAAGCATCCTAAAAAACCCGATGAACTATAGTTAGAAGTGAGGCCCCCAAGTGATGCTTGTTGGTTTCTAAAGCCATTATATAGCTATAGTTCGTTATTTCATATCCCCAATAAAACCTATGTAATTGGCCTGAATTCGGAACAATAGAAAATGGATGAACATTGGGGATTCAATGGTGATATATCCCAGTAGTTCCTGGTGGTATATAGTAGTTGAGACGAGAGAATCGAACATATGATTGGGTTGATGTCATTCTGAGCCAGAATTTTTTTTCAGGGTATGCAACAGACAGATGGGTCATAGGTCATGCCGGTCATGCCACCAACGAGTTTCCGATCAGAATCAACCGGTTGGTGGCTTTGGGGCAACATCGATAGCGAACATCATCGTCCATTCAAAGATGAAAAATTCCCATCAAAATGCCCATTTGTATCCATTTATGAGAGGGGAATTCTGCTGAAATGGAGATAGCAAGTACCCTCTGGTTATGTCAAAATAGCTATTGAAAATGGCCCAGTCGAAATAGTGGATTTTCCCATTAAACATGGTGATTTAGCATAGAATATGTGAACGTTTACCCAGCCCAAGATCCCAAAATACCCCAACATGACACTTTGAAAAAGCTTGGCAAATTACTATTACCCTCTGGTTATGTCAAAGGTTTGCTATTGAAAATGGCCATTTATAGTGAGTTTTCCCATTAAAAATGGTGATTTTCTATAGTTATGTTAGTTTACCAGAGGGTAGACTTAAACCAACAAAAACATGAACAGTTTTTGCATGCGATAAATCGCAGTTCCCAGGTTCCCAGGGGCGCAGAAGAAGTTTCAGCATGTCTCAGCAACAAAATTTTCACGGAAATCCTAGATTCGAAAGTATATAGTATAAATAACACACATGGCTTCCTCTCAAAATCTGCTCGAAAATATCGCAAAAAAATCCAGGCATTTTTCTAACCACCAACATCCTGGGGTAATCCCAGCTCCTGACCAAAAAAATGGTGGCTGAATCCCATGCGAGGTTGGATAGAAAAACCAACATCAATTCCCAATTTTATACTATTCTATGGTATCATATGGTCACTTAGTATCATACTCATGACTATACATAGTGTTACTTCCTAGCTGGTGGTTTGGAACATGGCTGGATTATAAATTTCCATTCAGTTGGTAATTTCATACTCCCAACTGTTACTCACTCCATCATTTTTCAGAGGGGTAGGGCTCAACCACCAACCAGATTATTATTAACCGTCATTAAACATATATTAACCATTATTAAATTATTAACCATATATTAACCATTGAAATCCCATTAAAATCCCATTAATATATATATATAATCCTCTATGTGTACCCTCTGGTTATTTAAATCTATTTAACATTAATATGGACTCCATGGCCCATTTCTGGATGAGTTTCCATGGCTACGTTACTAGTCTTCCAACCCCGATGACTGCCAGGGTCGAACTGTTAAATTTTACCAGAGGGTAAATAACCAGAGGGTACCCGGCCTGGTAATTTGTTACATAGCGAACTGGAAAGATCCACCATTTTTCATGGGAAAATCCACTATTTTTATGGCCATTTTCAATAGCTATGTTAGTTTACCAGAGGGTATATCCTGAAGATTTCAGCTTTGTCATCTCCAAAAGTGACCCGGTCCCCACCCGGTCCTCTCGCAGCTGGCTACTTGCTGGGATCGACCCTCGGGGGACCCATGGTGGACAGGCGCGAAGTTCCAGCTGTGTTTGTTGGGGAATTTCATGGGATTTAATGGTGATTGAGATTTCATGGGATTAAGGTCATGAGATTTTTTTTGGAGTGATTTCATGGGATTTAGATGGATTTGAGGGGAATTATGATATTATCACCCACCATTAAATACTTACAATGTGAGGCCCCCCAGTTATGTTAGTTGGTTTAGATTCGCCCCAGTAACTAGTTCGTTATTTGCGTACCATAATTACCATAGTGAAATTGGAGTTATAAACGCACCAACTGAACGCTATCCAACCAAGGCCTCACATTGTATATCATGGGAGTTATGTTCTGTGTTGAACCAGGCTGCCCCAAATCGAAAAAAACGCGAAGTTTTTTCACGGCTTCTCACCTTGCGACGGACTTTCTCGCTGAATCCCCATGAGATCCCCACAAAAAAAAAGTATATGCAAGGGAATGTAATATAATATAATATAATATAATATAATAATATAATGATATCCCCACTTAAAGAAAAACTCGGATATATCATATTGAATGATGTTTTTCGGGAATATCATGTAATATATTATAATGATCAAACTCGCAAATGGGATAGCAAATCCAGCTTTTCGGAGAAGATCCTTCTGAATTAGTGAACCAAAAATCATATATAAAGCTTATGATTGGGAATAAATGGTGATATTTACCACAACAACATGAGTAATACGCACAAATGGCAATATGACATAATATGACAACGTTTATAAAACCGTGCATAATGGGGATACAGTGGGGATTAATCCACAGCAATGTTAAATTGCCAGATAATATTTGATTTAATTATCAACAGGGATTTAACGACCATATAGTGAAATATTATAGAATGTAGCCAACCAACACATATGGACTTTGATTGAATGAAGTTTTGAGCAACACATGTATTTGATCTGCAAGAAATTGATAGACTCTAATCTGTTCCTTTCCAACCATACTTCCGCCAACCACAGTTTCGGCTCTTTGATTACCTGGTCCATTTTAGATCCATGGAGCTTGATGATTTACCTATGAAAAATGGTGGATCTTTCCATAGCATATAGTTCTGTGAACGTTTACCAAAAAGAGGGTAGACTGATACTTTCTGAACTATGGTCAGCCTAGGCCTAGATGCCATTTGTTCAAAAAAACGACGTGGTCCCCTAGTTTTCACATTTTGACCCATGTAACTGTTGAAACCTTTCGGCTTGTCACAACCGGAGCTTGCCCTGTGGCTCCAGATAGCTGTCATCAGCTGGTGGTTTGGAGCAGATGAATCTCCATGTGGATTTTCTGAACGGTGAAGGATGCATTCTGAAGGTCAGTCCTTCCACCCTGGGCCGCGATGTGCGTAGGATGCTTTGCGAGCAGCTCCATCCAAAGAGAGGCGCTAAGCTTGCTCTCCACCACTTCGATTCACCGCTGGTGCTTGGCCAAACGTTGCAAGAGCAAGGCATTGTGGGTCAGACATCGACACTCTCCTGCACTTACATTCCAACAAATTTATATGACGCATGGTGTTACATTAATAAAGTCCCAGTCTCGGAGGAAGAGTTTGCATTGGAAGGGGTCACGCAAATAGCAGGCGGAGCAGACATGTCTCACTATCACTATTTGAAGCATCTCCCAAAGAGCCAGGAGAAATTGACTCTTGGGCCCACGTTCAACGGGAGCTTTGCAAGAATATCCTTGCCGAGCAACCTTCAAAGTTTGACTTTCGGTCGGTCATTCAATCAGAGCCTTGACCAAGTGACCTTGCCAAGCAACCTGCAAAATTTGACTTTTGGTGACAAATTCAATCAGAGCCTTGACCAAGTGACCTTGCCAAGCAACCTGCAAAATTTGACTTTTGGTGACAATTTCAATCAGAGCCTTGACCAAGTGACCTTGCCAAGCAACCTGCAAAATTTGACTTTCGGTCGGTCATTCAATCAGAGCCTTGACCAAGTGACCTTGCCAAGCAACCTGCAAAATTTGACTTTTGGTGACAAATTCAATCAGAGCCTTGACCAAGTGACCTTGCCAAGCAACCTGCAAAATTTGACTTTCCGTTTGTCATTCAATTGGAGCCTTGACCAAGTGACCTTGCCAAGCAACCTGCAAAATTTGACTTTCGGTCGGTCATTCAATCAGAGCCTTGACCAAGTGACCTTGCCAAGCAACCTGCAAAGTTTGACTTTTGGTGACCAATTCAATAAGAGCCTTAACCAAGTGACCTTGCCGATCAACTTGCAAAATTTGACTTTCGATTGGTTATTCAATCAGTTCAATCAGAGCCTCGACCAGGTGACCTTGCCGAGCAACCTTCAAAGTTTGACTTTTGGTGATAATTTCAATCAGAGCCTTGACCAAGTGACCTTGCCAAGCAACCTGCAAAATTTGACTTTTGGTGACAATTTCAATCAGAGCCTTGACCAAGTGACCTTGCCAAGCAACCTGCAAAATTTGACTTTCCGTCTGTCATTCAATTGGAGCCTTGACCAAGTGACCTTGCCAAGCAACCTGCAAAATTTGACTTTCGGTCTGTCATTCAATCAGAGCCTTGACCAAGTGACCTTGCCGAGCAACTTGCAAACTTTGACTTTCGGTTGGTCATTCAATCAGAGCCTCGACCAGGTGACCTTGCCGAGCAACTTGCAAAGTTTGACTTTTGGTGGCAATTTCAATCAGAGCCTTGACCAAGTGACCTTTCCAAGCAAACTTCAAAGTTTGACTTTTGGTGACAATTTCAATCAGAGCCTTGACCAAGTGACCTTGCCAAGCAACCTGCAAAATTTGACTTTTGATGGCATTTTCGATCAGAGCCTTGACCAAGTGACCTTGCCAAGCAACTTGCAAAGTTTGACTTTTGGTCACAATTTCAATCAGAGCCTCGACCAGGTGACCTTGCCGAGCAACTTGCAAAGTTTGACTTTTGGTGACAATTTCAATCAGAGCCTTGACCAAGTGACCTTGCCGAGCAACCTTCAAAGTTTGACTTTTGGTGACGATTTCAGGCAGAGCCTTGACCAAGTGACCTTGCCAAGCAACCTGCAAAATTTGACTTTTGGTGAATATTTCAATCAGAGCCTTGACCAAGTGACCTTGCCAAGCAACTTGCAAACTTTGACTTTCGGTTGGTTATTCAATCAGAGCCTCGACCAGGTGACCTTGCCAAGTAACCTGCAAAGTTTGACTTTTGGTGACAAATTCAATCAGAGCCTTGACCAAGTGACCTTTCCAAGCAACCTGCAAAATTTGACTTTTGGTGACAATTTCAATCAGAGCCTTGACCAAGTGACCTTGCCACGCAGTCTTCACACTTTGTTGTTGTATGCCACCTTAGTGAGTGTCAGGTAATCTTTATTCGCAGGCGTCATTTGACTCGGCGTCCGTGCTGGAGAGATAGCGCATCTCGAAACTAGAAAATGTGTCCGGGATGCAATTGGCATCACATGGTTTTATCATGTTTTACCATGTGTTAACACGTCGGAAGCCAAATGAGGTCAACCCAATCATATCCAACAATATAAATTATTGACATCCATTGACTAGGTTTATGACATTGAGTATACCTATCCCTTTTTGGGGAGTGACGTTTATCATTTATAGTTGGTTGGTGAGATCTCAGCTGGTGGTTTGTAGCTGAGGTGAACTCATCCTTTGACTAATCCTGCAAGGTGGTGCCCCAGTGAGCTGTTCACGCTAAGTTGGTGCAAACAAGTCTCATAACTAGGGTTTATAGTTGATATATATGTATATATATCGAATTAGTTATATAATGGGATTATAACCCATTTATAAGTCTAATAACTAGGGTTGATTAGGGGTTGATATCTACAGTTTTCCGCCGATGATCTCCAGGATCCGACGCTGGGATAGGGAATACCCAACCAGATGTATATTTCAAGGGAAAATTCTAACCAGAAAGCCCCATTAGATAAATGGGAACATCTATGGTTTCCGGTGTTAAGATTTTCCCAACAAAACCAATCCATTGAATATTTATATGTGGGATATCACAATTAGTAAACTATAATGTTATTTAACTATGTTTATTAACCATTTGCTACGTATGGTTTGTCATGATTAGTAGAATATTAATAAATATACCCTCTGGTAAACTAACATGGCTATGGAAAGATCCACCATTTTTAATTAATTGACAATGGCAATTTTCAATAGCTATGTTAAATTACCAGAGGGTAAACCTCCGTTTTCCTATGGTTTTCCTATGGTTTACCAGAGGGTATCAACCATCTAATCAACCGAAACGTTCGCCGTATTTTTTCTCCCGGGGTTGTCTAAGCAAATCCAAGAAATGGTCTGTGTCAAATTTCAGATTTGTCTTTGACGATGTTGAGGAACCCTTTGAGTCATGTTTTCGTAATCATTTTACCTCATTCACAAAGAAAAAGACATGCTGGGATATGGGTCTGCCCAAAGGTGGTATATATTACCCAAAGAACAATTTTTGTTGCACCATGTTTTCCAATTTTCAAACAAACCCATATATATATATATATTCCCTTTTTTGTTTATGACTAAGAGTGATATTCAGTGGCTCGGCCATGAGAGGATGACACGGCCCTTTTTAAAAGTGTGCTGATTTCATGGGGTCTACCGGTCTACCCCCAAGATATGGCCGTTTGAATAGGAAAAATGATACCCTCTGGTAAACTAACATAGCTATGGAAAATCACAATTTTTAATGGGAAAATCCACTATAAATGGTAATTTTCAATAGCTATGTTAAATTACCAGAGGGTATATCATTCACCAGTAGATTAATTAAGGGATATCTGAATTTCAGACGAAGCCATGTCATGCCAACCTTCGATACATCCGTAGCCTGACCACACGTTGACGGGCCATGGGCTTTGCAAAACAGTTTGGAAGCTGTTTACAACCCATGACATAGCGGGTACTGTGCCCGTGGGCACTGCCCAAAATACCAAGTGGTAGATTATCTGGTTGGTGGTTTGGAACATTTTATTTTTCTCCATCACATATGGGATGTCATCCTTCCCATTGACTAATATTTTTCAAGATGGTTAGAACCACCAACCAGATGATGTACAGTAATAGGGTTGTATTAACCTCACCATTGGTTGCTCCCTGGTTGGAGATTATGAACTGACCCGGGACCTGTGGGAATGACAAGATCTATGTGGGATCATACTTCAATAAACGATGGAGCACAGAAAAACTCGCAGGACTTCATGGCCAAAGTGGGTTATCCCTTCTGGGTAACAGCATAATACCCTCCGGTAAACTAACATAGCTATTGAACATGGCCATTTACAGTGAGTTTTCCCATGAAAAATGGTGATTTTCCATAGTTGTGTTGGTTTACCGGAGGGTACATCATAATACTCTATGTTGCTGTAGATATAGATGTCACTTTTTTTGGGTGCCCGAAAGACAAACTCAGCTTGTTGCTGTAGAAAAACCAGCGCATTTTAGACAGGGGTTGGTAACTGTCCCATTTTGGGAATATTGGGCATCACCTTGTAGTAGCCATTATAGACCATATACCTAATGGTTGGGTGATGTTCAATGGGGACATTTAATGACCCATGTTAGACCCATTTTTTGCACCAAATGAACTCATCCGGGAAGCTCGAAGCTCGTGTTCCAACGCTGGTCAACCTTCCACCAGGTCCTCCAATCCTGCCATGTTGCTACTGTGGGGTACGGTTGGTCACTCGTCACCTCGGCTGGTGGTGTGGTCTTCTGCGTCATGTCTTGGCAGAAGAAGTGTTAGGCGTTGGAAAAAACTATCAACTAACAGTTGTTTGCCTAACAGTAACTATCTAAACTGTAACAGATTATTAGTTTTCTAAGACTACATATTAGTTCCTTTCCATACATTTTCTAAATTAATCCTTTGCTGGGTGTTTCCGGTTCAGCTGGTACACTTCCCTCCTCTTCCGATCCGGGACTCGTCCTGGCACTGACGATACTGTTGGGCTAGTTTTTAACCTCCCAAACTTGGCGAAAACAGCGGTGACTTCTTCAAGGCTACTAGGTGGTGACCTCCAGTCTTGTCTGTTTCTATATAAGAACACATATGGGTTTGTCTGAAAATAGGGTATATTCCCAATGAAATAGCCATTTAATAGGGATAATGATTCATTATGATCATTAACCATTGGGTTTAGGGGTACACTATTTTCAGACACACCCATATATATATATAAATACCATGGTATATCTCCAGAAATCTACAACAAACCCGATGTGAAATGATGCACAGAAAAACATCACAGGTTTGGGAGAATTATCCTGGTTGGTGCTTTGGAACATTTTATTTTTCTCCATCACATATGGGATGTCATCCTTCCCATTGACTAATGTTTTTCAAGATGGTTAGAACCACCAACCAGATGATGTACAGTAATAGGGTTGTATTAACCTCACCATTGGTTGCTCCCTGGTTGGAGATTGTGAACTGACCCGGGACCTGTGGGAATGACAAGATGGTTAAAACCACCAACCAGTATCTCATTTTTCCCGGAGTTTTTTTTTAGGCTTCCCAAAGTTTTTTGGTCGGACTTAGACTTGGGATGATCTTTGAGCGGCTCCATGACATCATGAAAAAATCCAATTGACATACCCTCTGGTAATTTGTTACAAAACTATGGAAAGATCCACCATTTTTCATGGGGAAATTTCAGTATAAATGGTGATTTTCCATAGTTACGTTAAATTACCAGAGGGTACATTCGAAGAAGTTCCTGCTGCATGAAGACAATATCTTAAGATGTTCTCCATGATATACATGATAAATGTTCCATCCAATGAACCATGAACATATCATTTCTCAGGAGTTTTCCCTTGTGGAGTTAAAAGCTGAAAAAATGTAGTTTTACCTTTTATATTCCATTTAAATCCCTGTAGTTTAAATCGCCCACACCCTGCTTGACTTGGGGCGATCAATATGGGTAGTAGGGACTATAAAAGTCACACCCCCGTGAAACTTTACATTCAATTGGGAAGACCAACAAAAAAGGTATTGGGGAATATAGAAGTCCCACCCCCGTTAAACCTTACATTCAATTGGGAAGATTGACAAAGGTATTTATTGGGGAATATAGAAGTCCCACCCCCGTTAAACTTTACATTCAATGGGAAAGACTAACACAGCTATTAGGGAATATAAAAGTCCCACCCCGTTAAATTTTACATTCAATTGAGAAGATTAACAAACGTATTAGGGAATACAAACGTCCCACCCCCGTTAAACTTTACATTCAATTGGGAAGATTAAATAAAGGTAGTGATGATGGTGATGATGATGATGATCATGATGATCATGTATGATGATGATGTTGTTGTTGATGATAATGATGATGAAGAAGAGGATGATGATGATGGTGATGGTGATGTGGAACGAACCCGCACCGGTCCCTATGTTGCGCGTTCGGATCTAGACCATCAAGTTAACTATAATGCCAAAATATTGCATTTTTACCATGTTTTCCAGCTCATACGAAGAAGGCGGGCCAACGGTAAACATCAGGGATTTCCATAGTTTTCTCCGAGGCAGTGCCCTTGGGGCTCTTTGCGTCGCTCAGCAGCAAAAAAGCATAATAGGCAAGGCGCAAAATGCAGGCATGGAGAACTAGTGGTTGATAGTGGTTACTGGAACAATTAATGATTAATATTAAGAGTGATTAAGAGTGATTGATAGTGATTAAGAGTGATTGATAGTGGTTTGATCATGGTTGATAGTGGTTGATGGTGGCTTTTCATATGGTTTTTCATCATGGTTAACAGTGGTTGATCGTGGACATGTTTAATGGATTGTTTCATGGGAAATAGCTGTCGTTAAGCTTGGAAATCATCATGGACATTTTCGGATCTAGATATTTACGTGGGAAATCATCGAACTATCCATGGATCTAAATGGATCTAATGTGGTTAAAACAATGCCATAATAAAACCACCCATGACCGGGAATGGTTTATACCAAGCATTTATGGTGATGACTGGGGGATGGTTTATTACTATTTTAACCGCATTAAATGGATCTAAATGGATCTAAACGGAATATTTTCTACTGCCAAGTTTGATTTCTAGAGGGTACAAAGAAACATGATAATTGTTTACCCTTACAGTGAAAAAACATGTCTAGCAATTTGTGGACGACTGGATGGTCTGCATTGTGAGTGTACAATTTGCATACTGTGGATGGGCCAGCGAAATCCGATCAACCACCAATTTTGGATGGTTGAAACCCTACGAATAATGAGATAAACCATCTAATTGGTGCAGGATTTCGCTGGCCCATCCACAGTATTTTTACACGTTGATCTTCTCCATTCGAGCTGTGAGTCTGTTGAAAGCGAGCTGATCCATCTTTTCAGAATCTACCACCCCAACCCCTCCAGCACCTAGCAGACCTAGCATCCATCATCACTCCAAAGGCGAGCAGCACGGGTTGGCCCCAACCAACTTTGGGCCACAGCTCAGTGAGCTGCGGTCCATGAAAAAACACATCCAGCACTGGGGTATGGTTCAAATTTCGATCAAAAACAATGGATGGATGGATCGTTTTCTCCAGAAGAAACACACACATATATCATATATACATGTACATATATATAATTATATATATAATATGATATATGTAATATATATATAATATGTAATATATAGATATACAAACACATTCATGGAATTTTATGGACTATATTAAATAAAGATAATCCAAACACCAATGAGATTGCACATCCAAGTTCGCCACAGATCATAGGTTTTGCACCTGGCATCTCAGGTGCCGTTCCTTCACAGCTTGAGCTTGGCATATCTCTCACAATCCTTGCAGGGCATCAGCATGGGCTTGCAGCTTGACCAACAAAGTCCTGGTGGACCGGAGCCTTTTTGGGGTGTCATTTTTGTGTGCTGCAAAACTCGCGGCCCCATTTTTTGAACATGAAAAAAATTAGCGAATACCCTCGGGTAAACATACAAAAAACTATGGAAAATCACCATTTTTAATGGGAAAATCCACTATAAATAGCCATTTTCAATAGCTATGTTAAATTACCAGAGGGTAGATACGCATTTTTTTGTTGACTATGATTGTTTCCTGCCCAAAAATCCTTTGATTTTTCCTGGTTCAATCCTCACCATGATTGCTTTTTCCCTGTTTCTTGGTTTTTTCAATCCTTCTATTGAAATGTCCTGACCATTCCAATGCCCTTTCCTATGTTTCCTGCGCGACAACTTTCCTTTCTCCATTCAAATCCTCCTTTTCGCCGCTTATGTCCAACCATTTCCCATCATTTTCACATCAGTTTCCATTATCTTTCCATGAATTTCTACAGTTGTAGTCCTTAAGCTTTATCACTGGCTCAGAAAACCCCATTGAAGGAAAATTATCATATTACCAACTATAGTTGCCGGAGTTATTCCATCCCATTTATATCTGGCTTAGTTTGGACCATACCTGTATCCTTTCTCATCATTCTAGGTCAATCTTAGATGGGTACTTTAATCCTTTAGTCTTTTGGTATCAATGGGATTATCTACTAACCAATCTAACCAGATAAGAATTTATTTTTTGCAGGGTATCTGGCTGATTGGCACTGAATTTTCCAGAACGCACTTGGCAACGAGCCCGACCCGAGGTCCGAGGTCCGAGGTCCGAGGTCCGAGGTCCGAGGTCCGAGGTCCGAGGTCCGAGGTCCGAGGTCCGAGGTTCGAGGTCCGAGGCCCGAGGTCCGAGGTCCGAGGTCCGAGGTCCGAGGTCCGAGGTCCGAGGTTCGAGGTCCGAGGTTCGAGGTCCGAGGTCCGAGGTCCGAGGTCCGAGGTCCGAGGTCCGAGGTCGGAGGTCCGAGGTCCGAGGTCCGAGGTCCGCGAGGTTCGAGGTCCGAGGTCGGAGGTCCGAGGTTCGAGGTCCGAGGTCCGAGGTTCGAGGTTCAAGGTGCGAGGTCCGAGGTCCGAGGTCCGAGGTTCGAGGTCCGAGGTCCGAGGTCCGAGGTCCGAGGTTCGAGGTCCGAGGTCCGAGGTCCGAGGTCCGAGGTCCGAGGTCCGAGGTTCGAGGTCCGAGGTTCGAGGTCCGAGGTCCGAGGTTCGAGGTCCGAGGTCCGAGGTTCGAGGTCCGAGGTCCGAGGTCCGAGGTCCGAGGCAAAGTTTCAGTGCATTTGCTATCCGTCAAAATAAAGTGCCTCTGACGCTACAAGAGTGTCATGAACTATCAACCATGATTCATTTCATCACGGGTAATAACCATGAACTTTTAACTATTAACCATGTTTCATCTCAGCAAGCATATATCGATATTGAATCAGCAATCAGTATGCAATTCCCCGCATCATATTCTAACATTTTCACAGTTAACCGTACTGTCATGCATGATGATGTTGATTGATAGCACGGTTAACTGTGAAAATGTTAGAAAATGATGCAGGGAATTGCAAACTGATTGCTGGTTCAATAAAGATATACGCTTGATGAGATGAATCATGGTTAATCGTTCATGGTTATTACCCATGATGAAATGAATCATGGTTAATAGTTCATGACACTCTTGCAGCGTCAGAGGCACTTTGGCAGCGCCTTAGGGTCCTGGTTATTTTGACGGATAGCAAATGCACTGAAACTTGACCTCTGGTGGTTTGCAGTAAAAGCCAACATTGTTAATGTAACCAAGATCACCAAATTCAAAAAATACGGGAGTCCGCCTTCCCCGGGTTTAGGCCCTTTAGGCGGACTCCCCCCTGGAAATCAAAAAAAAGGAAAATATGTCCAACATGGGATACGTCCAACATAAAGCCTATGACCCCAACGCTAGCTTTGCTACACATTTGTGGACATCTCAGCAGATCCAACATAGAGCAACATATAGGCCCAACATAGCAGATCCAACATAGACATAGACCCAACCAAGACCCAGGATCATGGTGGCAGATCCAACATAGACCCAACATGGAGGCGAGGTATGGACAACATCTTGGCAAGGAAGATCCAACTGGACACAACATAGACCCATGTAAACCAACAGGCGCAACATCCATGCAAGGAAGGAACAACACAGAAACATCTTGGAAAAAAAGCTGGTTTGCTCAGAAAAAAAGTTGGTTTCACCAGATTGTCCCTTAGGTTCGAGGTCCGAGGTTCGGATTCCGAGGTCCGAGGTCCGAGGTTCGATGTCCGAGGTCCGAGGTTCGAGGTCCGAGGTTCGAGGTCCGAGGTCCAAGGTCCGAGGTCCGATCTCCGAGGTCCGAGGTTCGAGGGCCGGAGTTCGGAGACGCGAGGTCCGAGGTCCGAGACCCGAGACCCGAGGTCCGAGGTCCGAGGTCCGAGGTCCGAGGTTCGAGGTCCGAGGTTCGAGGTTCGAGGTCCGAGGTCCGAGGTTCGAGGTCCGAGGTTCGAGGTTCGAGGTCCGAGGTCCGAGGTCCGAGGTCCGAGGTCCGAGGTTCGAGGTCCGAGGTTCGAGGTCCGAGACCCGAGGTCCGAGGTCCGAGGTCCGAGGTTCGAGGTCCGAGGCCCGAGGTTCGAGGTTCGAGGTCCGAGGTCCGAGGTTCGAGGTCCGAGGTCCGAGGTTCGAGGTCCGAGGTCCGAGGTCCGAGGCAAAGTTTCAGTGCATTTGCTATCCGTCAAAATAAAGTGCCTCTGACGCTACAAGAGTGTCATGAACTATCAACCATGATTCATGTCATCACGGGTAATAACCATGAACTATTAACTATTAACCATGTTTCATCTCAGCAAGCATATATCTTTATTGAATCAGCAATCAGTATGCAATTCCCCGCATCATATTCTAACATTTTCACAGTTAACCGTACTGTCATGCATGATGATGTTGATTGATAGCACGGTTAACTGTGAAAATGTTAGAAAATGATGCAGGGAATTGCAAACTGATTGCTGGTTCAATAAAGATATACGCTTGATGAGATGAATCATGGTTAATCGTTCATGGTTATTACCCATGATGAAATGAATCATGGTTAATAGTTCATGACACTCTTGCAGCGTCAGAGGCACTTTGGCAGCGCCTTAGGGTCCTGGTTATTTTGACGGATAGCAAATGCACTGAAACTTGACCTCTGGTGGTTTGCAGTAAAAGCCAACATTGTTAATGTAACCAAGATCACCAAATTCAAAAAATACGGGAGTCCGCCTTCCCCGGGTTTAGGCCCTTTAGGCGGACTCCCCCCTGGAAATCAAAAAAAAGGAAAATATGTCCAACATGGGATACGTCCAACATAAAGCCTATGACCCCAACGCTAGCTTTGCTACACATTTGTGGACATCTCAGCAGATCCAACATAGAGCAACATATAGGCCCAACATAGCAGATCCAACATAGACATAGACCCAACCAAGACCCAGGATCATGGTGGCAGATCCAACATAGACCCAACATGGAGGCGAGGTATGGACAACATCTTGGCAAGGAAGATCCAACTGAGACACAACATAGACCCATGTAAACCAACAGGCTCAACATCCATGCAAGGAAGGAAAAACACAGAAACCTCTTGGAAAAAAAAGCTGGTTTGCTCAGAAAAAAAGTTGGTTTCACCAGATTGTCCTTAGGTTCGAGGTCCGAGGTCCGAGGTTGAGGTCCGAGGTCCGAGGTCCGAGGTCCGAGGTTCGAGGTCCGAGGTTCGAGGTTCGAGTTCCGAGGTCCGAGGTCCGAGGTCCGAGGTCCGAGGTCCGAGGTCCGAGGTTCGAGGTTCGAGGTCCGAGGTCCGAGGTCCGAGGTCCGAGGTCCGAGGTCCGAGGTCCGAGGTTCGAGGTTCGAGGTTCGAGGTCCGAGGTCCGAGGTCCGAGGTCCGAGGTCCGAGGTCCGAGGTCCGAGGTTCGAGGTTCGAGGTTCGAGGTCCGAGGTCCGAGGTCCGAGGTCCGAGGTCCGAGGTCCGAGGTTCGAGGTTCGAGGTCCGAGGTCCGAGGTCCGAGGTCCGAGGTTCGAGGTCCGAGGTCCGAGGTCCGAGGTCCGAGGTCCGAGGTCCGAGGTCCGAGGTCCGAGGTCCGAGGTTCGAGGTCCGAGGTCCGAGGTCCGAGGTCCGAGGGTCCGAGGTCCGAGGTCCGAGGTTCGAGGTCCGAGATCCGAGGTGGCAACGCGGCGGCAACATCCATTGTCAAGTTCGATCTCGAATTTTCCAATTTTTTTTCCATCTTCCCAGGTTGGACACCGGCGGCAACGTCCTAATGCTCACAGTCTGGCGGGGCAGCAAACATGTCAATGGCGCCGTGCACGGCCGCTGGTCCGAGATTATGGCTTTGCTACCTTTAGTTTCAACGGGACATTGTGGATTTTCCTTGAGAAAATGGATGAAAATAGGAAAAATGGTGGATCTTCCTAGGGAAAATGCTGTTTTTTTTTTCAAGGGTTTCACCTAGGAAAAACAACATGTGATTTCACTTGGCCAAAACTAGGGATTTATGTGGATTGCTGTATGATTGCTAAGTTGGCTTACATAGAACTAACCTAGCAAGGGTTGTGGTGATGAAATTATAGTTTCATGGGGTTATAAACAACTTGCTCATAGGGAGCACCACCTCGCAACTATTGAGATGTAGTAGGATATACCGCCCCAGCTACTAACCACGAATGGCTTATTCTGGCAACATTGAGCAGAAACGAAGGCTTAAACAACCAGCGAAAGGGCTATATATATAATATATACATAACCAGCAATCAGGGTATGAAACCAACCATAAAAAATGAAGATATTTACTGGGATGTATTGAGGGGATATTTATGATATAATATTAATACTAGTATATAATAACGATAAGAATACTAGTAGTAAATTAATAGTCATAATTAATAATAATGATGATAACAGTGATATATACAGTATATATATATACACATGTATAAGCAACTTGATATGATATCTGGTTCCGTCTGAGAATGGGATATGCCCAGTAGTCGTCACCTGGCAATTTGAAAATCCAACTGAAGTTTTTCGATGATTTTCCCAGCTTCAAAGCGCCATTTCGTTCGGGGATTTTTTGCTTTGACACGTTTGATGACACCAGAGGGTAACCAAGAAAATAAGCGTATTTCCGAGATCAAGTATCACATCTTGATCATTAAGTAGTGGTGAACACCCCTACAGCCCTACAAGTGATATTTTTCCGGAGAAAATCTAAGAAACCCAGTGGGTGTAAGATTCGATTGTAACCTAATAACTGGGATCCTTGTCTCATTCTACTCCCGGGGTGATTGTTTGTCAGTTTGATTTAAGGCCAGCAAAGCCACTTTTTGAGGACAATGATGGCAGAAACATTTTTTTTTTTATCAGCAACAAAGTTGGAATGTATACCAAAATCTATCAAGATGGATTCAGGCAGGATTTCTCCAAAGCGATTTTTTTTCGCACATTTTCTATTGGAGAAATGATGATCGACACGAGATTTTGATGCGTTTCTCCTCAAGGCTTCGCCACGGGTGGCTGGCTGGATTCCCATGAGCCATGAAAATCCCATGTACCCGTTTGCTATTGAAAATGGCCCAGTCGAAATAGTTGATTTACCCATGAAAAAATGGTGATTTTCAGTTATGTAAACGTTTACCAGAGGGTAACTTGACCATGACAATACATAATTCAGTAAGATCTCGAGGCATCGAACTGAACTTTTCGGGATCATCTTGACATCCGTTTTGCAGGGCTCAATACCCAGCTGCAGCCTGGCTCAAGATGTTTCTTCACTATTTGAGGCGAGCCGGCTGCGCATGTAGGCGTCGTCACCTGGAGACGCTGGATGTTTCTTCGCAACGATCTGAGGTCAAGTGGGAAATCAGCATAGCGCTGCCCAGCGGTCGTAGCCAAAGCTGGTCCCTGAGGCAGACGTCCACGGTAGGGCACTTGAGGACAAGGGCCGAAACATTTTGTGGACAACGTTTCTTGAGGCTGGTGACTGCAGAAGGTCGCATACTGACGGATCCTGAAGATGATTTGAAGGTGGCAGGTCTTAAAGATGGAGATACCATCACGGCAGTTCGGGTGGAACCCAAAGTGGCAGCAACACTCGGAGCCTTCGCACTCTGGTGTCCTGAAGGTGATGGAATTGAACTCCGAGCATGGGGTGATCCAGAGACTGGTGGTGACAGCTCCGCAGTCCAAGATCAGCTCAAAAACGTGCAGAAGATTCAGACCACATGGAGCGCTTTTGCTGCCATCCTGGCAGATGGAGCTGTCGTTACTTGGGGTGATCCAACATCTGGCGGTGACAGCTCCACAGTACAAGATCACTCACATGTGAAGCAGGTTCAGGCCACAAGCAGTGCTTTTGCTGCAATCGTGGAAGATGGATCGGTCGTTACATGGGGCAAGCGAGGGTTTGGTGCTACCAGCTTCAGAGTCCAAGGTCAGCTCAGGAACGTGCAGCAAGTTCAAGCCACCGAGTTTTCTTTTGCTGCGATTCTGTCAGATGGATCAGTGGTTACATGGGGCTGTCAAGGAGCTGGTGGTGACAGTTCCAGAGTCCAAGATCAGATCCAACATGTGCAGCAGGTTCAGGCCACAAGTAGCGCATTTGCTGCGATCCTGGCGGATGGATCAGTCGTTGCCTGGGGTGATCCAAAATCCGGTGGTGACAGTTCGGCAGTGTAAGATCAGCTGAGGAATGTGCAGCAAATTCAGTCCTCAAAGGATGCGCTTGCCGCGATCTTGTTAGATGGATCAGTCATTACATGGGGTGATCCAAAAGGCGGGGGTGATAGCTCTGAAGTCCAAAGTGACCTCAGGAATGTGGGTGACCCGCAGGCCGGTGGAGAGACGCAGCGCTGCTCTCGAAACGTCCAACAGGTGCAAGCTAACACCAGCGCATTTGTTGCCATCCTTCCAAGCGGCTACGCTGTGACATGGGGCCATCCATCCTGCGGCGGTACTGCTTAAACGTATAAGAGGACACCTAGCTGGTAAGACACGGTGAGACTGGCGTCATTGGGAAAACCTGCTGCATTTCGAGGAAGTTTGGTAGAAAATGGTGCGTGTTGGAATGCCCAAAACCCCTGTTGGTTGATGCGCATATAAGGTAGTACTAGAAGGTCGTAGGTGGTACCCCGTACTGTGCCCCCAATCCTTTCGCTAAGTTGGGTTAGCTCAGTAGGTTAAATGTTGGGTTTACGGGGCTTTAGGACTTTAGGACTTTAGGATAGATTCATCTCTAGTTTGATGGGGTCATGAACCAACAAAGACAACTCGAGGGCACCACCTTGTACCAACTGCTTCAATTTGAGTCAGGGATTATTCTACTGGCAGTGCCCAAAAAACCAGGAGAGAGATTACCAGACTGGTGACAACTTTGATTTTTCGCAAAGGCCATTCGGAAGATGTCCTTCCTTGAAATCACCGGTGCTTCCTTTCCACGGAGTCCCCCTGGTTATCCCCTGGTTATCCCATCGTCCCACCAGGTTCCCGTGATCTTCCCATGTTTTTTCCATGGAATTCCCCCATCTTCTTGGTGGTTTGGAACATGACTGGATTATGTTTCCCCTATATTTTTGGAATTTCATGATCCCAACTGACGAACTCCATCATTTTTCAGAGGGATTGGTATACCACCAACCAGTTATTGCTGAAAATCAGGGCTTACCAATACCCTAAAAATTGCTCATCAAGTCCCTTTGATTCCCATCGTTTATTTTTCAGGACAAAAACCCATCGTTTCTGATCCAAAAAACCACTGTTCACTGCGGAAAAATCCACCGTTTGACTGACTGAGGTTTCCACTTCCTCTTCGGCCTGGGCGCCTTCATCGCGCCCCTTTGCGTCGGCCTGGTTCTGCGCTGCGGCGGCGACGACGCAGTGCAGGAGCGCGTTTTTCTGCGCGGGCACCGCACCTGGGTTTTGCGCTGAGGGATTTCACCACGAAAAATGGGGACTTTACCAACAAACATGGGAAATTCATGGGAATTCATAGTAAAACATGAGGATTTCACCTGCAAAAATGGTGACTTAACCAACAAATTATGGGAATTCCATCATCAAAAATGAGAATTTCACCTGCAACAATGGTGACTTGACCAACAAATTATGGGAATTCCATGATCAAAAATGAGAATTTCACCTGCAAAAATGGTGACTTGACCAACAAATTATGGAGATTTCATCAACAAGCAGCCTGCCAAGATTGACTATGAGGACGGCGCTGATGAACTTTGCCATGGTGGCCCCCTGAAAAGCTATGCTATATCCATTGGGAAATGGGAAATGCCGTCAGTTTCGGGAACTGCTTTAGTGACACATCACAGTGAGATCGTCAGTAGAAGAGAAGACTGGCGATTGACAAGGGAGGTGCTGAGGAAAACAGACCAAAAAGACATAAAAAGACTGCAAGTCACAGGTGACCTAACTACTATATGAGCCATGGTCAATACTCACTATATGGTTGATGGTCATCCCATCCATAATAAGGATCCTTTTTTATGGTTATAATAAATCCCTATGAACCATTGGATGACTAGCCCCGTTTTTAATGGTTATTAACCATGAGTATTGACCATAGCTCATATGTCACTGTGGTCATCAGGTTTTCACTGGTCATACAGACAGTGGTTTTTTTAAAGGGAAGATCATCGGACCAAAAATGGGGATGCCAGCTGCGAGACAAAAACCAACAGATACACGGGGATTTCAACAACAAACATGGGATTCCACCTGCAAAAATGGTGACTTAACCAACCAACTATGGGGATTTCAACAACAATAAACCATCACGAATGTAGATGGACTCTCACGAAGCAACTTGCGGCAAGTTTTCGCAGACCAAGGGGTGGCTTTCGGGTTGAAATTCGCGTTGATTTCATGGAAAAGCCGTCCCATCACCCAAAAAAAACACCCCCATGGCCTATGGCCCCATGGCGGCCCCTGATGGTGATGCTGTTTTTTTTTTTTAAGGCCGCTTTTATTATATGGCCTGCAAAAAACATCGAAACATGACAAGTTACAAGACAGAAAACCATTAAATAAATGTGGGATACCATGGTTTTTTCATGTTTCGCAATCAGAAATAAGAATTTCCATGCTGGAATTTCTGAGTAGGGATATCCTGGCTGTTGGGAATCAAGTCTAAAGGGCACGCTCAGATAGTGTTATGAAAGCCTTGGCCCAGCACCATGGCTGGTAGTAGCAATCACCATGGCACTCTTTGACACTGATGGATATAATATCTCATACTGCTTGCGGGTCTAGATGTGTCAAGGATTTGAGAAGAACAAACCGCGGGCAATCACAAAAGGACTGCAGCCAATCAAAGATGCTTCGATTATAGCGACATCATTAACCAACATGACTGCAAATGATGACACCATGAGAGGCTTATTTCAGATTTGGGACATATTTTCTAATGTGTTCACGACTCCCGTTGGCCATTGGTTTTGGCATCAATACTGAGCTGGCTCTTCTGGATGTAAACAATAAAGATTCCACATTCATCTAAGCACCAACATCCTTATAAATGAGTTATACAAGCGATGACACTACCCTGGTTTTGCTCAAAAAAATGAACTCATCAACTATACCCATAGGATCCATGTATGCCATATATGGTCACATTTACCATTAATATACCCCCAATGTTAGTATATATACCATACATGGATCCTATGGGATATGAACCCCTGAAACCTTAAATTTTGTAGCCGAAATCTCGACAGGCCTGGTGGGTGCCTGTGGCCACCTATGTGCCCGCGTGCCTCTGTTTATTTTTGCTCAGCTTTCAGAAGCAGCCGAAGACCGGTGCAGACGACACAGAGGTGCCGTGAGTCGCGATTCGCGGGTGGTGTTGAGTTCCATGGCTGTGGTACTACGTGGTAATTAATTGTTGTGAAAACATGCTGTTTGAAGTAGGGACATGGGATTTCACCAGCAAAAAAAATATGGGTATGGATCAATACCTATTAATACCATTTTTAGTGGGATGAACATCCATTTACCAGCTATTTTGATGTTCACTAGGTACCAGGGTTTTGACCCATCCCCAAATGGGATTTCACCAGCAAAAAAAACATATTTTAAGATTAAGCGTGGCTCAGGGGTAACACCCTTGGAACGCTGAGTACCGGAGACCCGCCGGAGAGCCTTAAACTATCTGGAAACCAATTTAAAACCATCAAGACACTTAAGGTACCTGATAAGAATTGGTTAAAGTGGTAAATTTTGTGAACATTGGGTAAAGTATGGTAGAGTACTAATCTGTATGGGTCGATTTTTAGGGTCTAGACAGCTAATGTTCAGGGTTGTGCTCCCGGCTAAGTTGGTTGAGTGAAGGTTAACCAGGGTTTATGGTTGCTGTAAGTATAGAGTCATAGGGTTTATAAGTAGGTGATCTAGGCTTACTGGTAGGTCTTGAAAGGACATTGCTGGCGATGTTGCTGGCTGCCAAAAAATGGCTGTAGTCCACATGCACGAGGCAGAAGAGCTCGAGAAGTTTGGCAAAGATCGAAGCACTTCCACTGGGGGATTCTATTGTCACCAACATTCTGAGTGGAAGATCAGTCTACAAATCACTGTCACTGGTTAACCTGGTTGGCGGTTTCAAATATATATATATGTTTTATTTTCCATTTCATATATGGGATAAGATCATCCTTCCCCTTGACGAACTCCATCATTTTTCAAGATGGGCACATTGCACCACCAACCAGTTCAGCAAAAAAATCCTTAAGTCTCTATTGTTTAGCCCCTTAATCCGTTTGTTTGCTGGAATCCTCATTTTCGGACTCCTGGCGCTGTGCTGCCACACTGAAACACGTTGCACTTACGGAGATTCCTGGGATGAACCACGGCTTAAGATCAGATTGGAAGCATCCAATACTTCACATTCCTAGTTGAATTAAAACATATTCAATATATTATATATTCATATATGTTCAATATCAATTGGATACCCAATTGAATACCAATATATGTAGTTGGCACCAATTATCTTCATATGTATTTTATTATCTTCATTTACCAATTCACCACATTTGAAAGTTGGATATTCCCATGACATATCCCCATTGATAGCTCCATGCCCATTTTTGATCCTGGGGCACCTGGGGCAGCTGGGGCAACTCGCCAGCCCAACGCGAGGCCAAAGCATTGCCTTGCATCGTCTTGCTGACTGGAGCCTTTTTATTGACATACGTGGGCTTGGAGGCGGGGATAGTCGGGTAGTCGAGGTATGGGTACAAGGTGAGGCCCTTGTGATCAATGGCCATTCCAGGATCCTAAATTGGAGGTACCTAACATATATAAGGCCTATATAATAGGGGGCCTCACCGTGTAAAGAGTTGGTGAAGAATCTAGGGATTGACCATCAAAAACAGATAAACACAGGACACATGAAGATAAATAAGGGCCTAAATGTTAAGTCAATGTTCTATAGTTAAACTATAGAAGATTGACTTAACCTTAAAACTGTTCTATAGTGAGCTAATATCACATCTATTTTCCATGGTTAAGTCAGTGTGATATTGGGCCTTGACCATCAAAAAGGGGGATGAACCTTTGGCGCATTTCATCCCGGGGAGAATCACTGCCGAAAAATGCCAGGATGATAGCCAGTTTGCGACCTGGAAGCCATGGCACATAGAAATAGTTGATTTATGTTGATTTCTGTTGATTTACCGAACTTAAAGATGGTGATTTTCCATAGCTATGTAAACGTTTACCAGAGGGTCATTCGTCGCGAAGTCAGGTGGCCTTTGGAGGCTACGTGGATCCCTTCGCAGTGCAGCAGCTTCAGCTGTCCAAGGCATTTAGACAAAAGGGGGGCCCTTAGATGACTACAATACTGGTTGAGTATACCACCAACCAGAATGGATTTTCCATGAAATAAACCAGAAACTGATGATTTGACGAACAGAACATGGTATGAGTTAAGCAGGAAAAATGCTGACTGGTGGTTTGGAACATTTGGATTATTTTTCCATTCAGTTGGGAATTTTCACAGATCCCAACTGACTTTCACTCCATGATTTTTCAGAGGGGTAGGGCTCAACCACCAACCAGAATAACACGGTACAATAACACGGGTTTATACCCTTACTCAATCAAACCAATATTCTCTAAGAAGATTTGCTGCAATGGAATGCAATGGATATGGGTTTGTCCAAAAATTGCGGATTTGGCAAAAGTTAAGTTACGGGGTTATTTCAAAGAAACCACTTTATGGCTGTGTTAGTAATGGGAATCTCTATATATATATAATTATATATATATATCATGGTGATATACTGGGATGCAGAACCAACAATTGTAATGAGTTTGCTTAAAACTGTTGGAGACTTGCGTGATTGTGATGTGGGAGAACATGCAAAACTCCATCCTGTACAGATTCTAGTTGTTTATCATCTTTTTGTGGCCAGGGAGGCAGACTTGGACTGGATCCTGCCCGTGGGTAGCTCCCCAGGATGAAACTCCCCAACATTTTATTGGAACAACAGCCCAAAATACCAGGGTTGTGAACATCTTGTTCCCCACAGCAACGGCAAGTTTGAGCTATGACTATGATTGTATACTAAGCCTACCGGTACCAATCACTTTCAGAGCCAACTGGCAACCCTCCCCAGGTCCGCTAAACACAACTCCGTCCCGCCGATTCAAACAGCGTTTGAGGAGTTGAAGGAGAGAATTTTTGGTGACATAAAAGCATTTTTCAAGCCATCAACCAAAAGTCAACTTGTACACTCTGGTAATTTGACATAGCGAACTGGAAAGATCCACCATTTTTAATGGGAAAATCCACTATTTCGACTGGGCCATTTTCAATAGCTATGTTAGTTTACCAGAGGGTACCAAAAAAATGGTTTCCGAAAAAGTTGCTGCTTTGCCAAATGAAACTATCGACACCAGTCACCATATTTTTGCCAACAGAATGCGCCACGCAAAAAACGTGTCGAAACTGCAACGGTCAATGCCCACGCCCGGCATGTCGAAGCTGTCCGACGAGCTTCGGAGGCCCGCAGCGTTGAGATGGCTTGAGGGCTGGACACTGTTTTAAGGAGGGTCAAGAAAACATAGAGAAACCTATGTTTGGTAGATATATCATGATATATCTATGGTTGCTATGGTTGTATATATATATATATACATATATATAACCATGGTTATCGCAGATGTATCTATAGTTAACTATGATTTATGGTATTTAACTATGGTATATATATATATATCTAGAGTTATTGTGGTTGAACTATCCCATATGCTCCATATATCTATAGTTAACAATGTTTCGTAGATCTATGGGAGTTTCCACCAATGGGGGATCCCCAATCGTCACAAATTACCGTAGCTTTCAATACTCAACTGGTCTTTCGTGACTTGGATGATTGAGGGTACCCCTATTTTAGGAAACCTCCATATATCATTTATCTGGGTAAATTATAACGACCTCACTGCGACCGAGCCCTGGAATCATGGTTAGTAAGCGAAATCATCCCCAAATGGGCCTTAATTCAGGTTAGTGAAATATTATAGTTTACCCACATATATATATTGTTTAGCTATGGTTTATGGTAGATATATCTATACTGTGAATCTGTTTCAATATAAACCAACTTATAATTGGGGAGGGCTCAACTTGTAGGTCATTGTCCGCATGATTCCGCTAATATGAGTTTTCCACATCTTCTTGTACATTCACCGAAATGGGACATTGTTTCTGGATGCCAGAAATGGGGGTATGTTAAACTACCCAACCTGGTTATGACATTCACAGTTTGCCATGGAAAGATCCACCATGCTATTAAGTTTGGTAAACCATCTATTTCGATTAGGGCCATCTATACCATGGCTATGTTAGTCATAACCAGATGGTAAGCAGCAAAACGTTGCTGGGTGAAGATTGGCCATGTTTTCTCAGCGCTGCGGCGGATCAATAGATCAGCTCACGGTGTGTTCGTCGTGTTGCCAAATTCTGGGTTTGTGACCAATCAACAGGCGGCTGTACTTAGGATATACCCTCTGGTAAACTGACATAGCTATTGAAAATGGCCATTTATAGTGGATTTACCCATTGAAAATGGTGATTTTCCATAGTTATGTTAGTTTACCAAGGGGTACTACCCTATGGATCCATGGCCACTGTCTGAGAAGGTACGGCTGACACCCCCTAGTCATCATACGCCAGTCGTACTTCCTGAGAATACAACTGGATCCACAAGGATAGCAATAGTATATCTACAAGGTGGTACCTCCCTAGTTATGTGAACGTTGGTTTATAATCCCCATTAACTAGTTCGATATAACTTGTCGGTAAATTTTATCTGATTGGTGGTTTGGAACATTTCTTATTTTCCCATATCTTTGGGATATCATCATCCCAACTGACGAAATCATATTTTTCAGAGGGGTAGGGCTCAACCACCAACCAGGAAATATCATAATTTACCTAGATATATACGTATATTATATATATATATATAACTGGATTATAATTCTCTGGTTGGTACTAGGATATACGGCTTGTAATTTGTATCTATCCCATAGGATCCATGGTGCTGGTATATATGCTAACATAAAGGGGCTATATTGATGGGATCTATGTTACCATATATAGCAGCACCATGGATCCTATGGGTAACCGAAAACGGCGCCTGAGGGATGATCATTTTACGGCCACTGGCCGCCACCATTCGACAAAAACAAGCATCACTATAGACATATCCCATAGAAAATGGTTGAAAAATGATTGGAATAGAAAATCCCATGATATTCCCATATCATAGAAAACCATTTTCAATATACAACCATAGAAAGTCGAAATCCCATGATATTC